GCACAATGTTATAATGGCACATAATAATTAGTGTTACCTTTTAAAAGTCTAGAAACTATTGTTCTATTGGAATAGTTACTACTGAATAAACACACACACAATCCTACGTTCCATACCCATCTGATTTATGAACTAGAATTTAGTGTCTGTTAATGAATTTGGAAATATTTCTAGAATTACAACACCCTAGAAGATATGAATCTTAAGTGAAAACTATTGTAAATCACACACAGCTAGTATCATACAGTTTCAAAACACAGTTTCTGTGGCAAACAGATTTTTAATATCTTAACTTTTACCTGTGTACTAAACTTTATCAGCACCATATATTGATTTGGAGTAGAGTCTCTGATGATTTTCATTTGTTCAATTACTTCATTAAATGGGGCGACAAACTTCATAAGGTCATGACTGGTCATTGTAGCAGGGACTGTGAGAATACACAGCATGGCACTGCGCCTCACATCTTCTTTTAAGGAGGTCATCTTACTAATAAGACAACAGTTAGACTGTCTTGAATAGATGAGGTATGGTTAATTCACACAACACTAGACAACTCTTATGTCCAAAAAAACAGGAAAAAAAATAAAACTTGTAATACTTCACCAATCAATTTAAACAGTCTACTATTTTACCTGAAAATCCACACTACATGGGTAAACGCAGAATCCCTTAAACGTATCTGCCATGATGTTTAAGATAAACTTCAAAATGGTCTACATCACACCCACCTCTAAAATTTTTAATCTTCAGTTAAAGGCCCGTTATGGTTACAAAGCTGCATTAGGCAACTTGTAGTCTGTGTTTTATTCTCATTAATTTTTAAAAAAATAATCTCTCATTATGTAACTTAGAACCACCAATTCTAACTATGGACTTGTCTAAAGGGTATAGAAGAGAAAAGAGCTCTCAATATAAGAATTCTGAAGATTACACAAAGTGTTGCTGGGTTGGAATAGCTGGAATAGAGGGGGGAAAAACCCTCCCACAATGCAATTTGCTTTTGACATGCTGCAAACTCACTTCAACAGATGTGATTCCAAAAGGCTACCTGAGTATTCACTGTTTCCCGGTAGGAATTTAATAAACAAGTTAGGACAAGGACAGCCTTTGAAGAGATCAGCTACCAATTATCCCAGGAGCTGATGGCCCAGTTTAAAGATTATGTAGCCAAATGCTTCCTTTCTTTTGGCCTCCTGCAAGCTTTGCTTGGACTACAGAAAAGAGTAAAAGGAGGTGATGAAATTGCAATCCAATACCTGATTTCTTAGTTTCTTTCAAAAAGATCTGGTGGGGATATAAGAGAGCCATGATGTTATGGGTCATTTATATTTTTTCTTTTCTATCTTCTTTTCTTTCCATTTTCCAGTCATCTTGCATGCCTACCTTCTCAGGGAATATTTTCCTAGGAAGTTTATCTACATGTCTCTGACCCAATCTACAAGATTTATCAAATGTAAAACATTTAAGAATTCTCTAACACGCAATATATGAAAGTAATACCTTTTTGAAGCTTAAACTATCCACTTCCCTTCAGGGCAAAATATTTTTTCTCTTCCCTAAAGCAAAAACTAGACCAACATAAAATGGAAAAGGTTTTTCTTACTTTGTCTTATATAGATGCATGATACCATGAACTATTTCAACTGATGGATTTCCACTGAAGAATGAAATCTGGTCTGGAAGCTGTTTGGATGGAGAATCAGGAGCAGCATTTATGCTTTCTTTACTTTGATCTTTACTTCTCTGTGCAGTGGGGGATGCTTCTGAAGACTTTCTTTCTTCCACTGTAGCTTTCAGCTCGTCTTTCACAAATCAAAAATTAGCAGGTTATAAACTGACAGGAAACATGCTTAAGGATTCTAGATTAAAATTTTTGGTCAGAAGAATAAACTGAGACAGAGACACTATAATGTGTTCCATTAAAAACTATAGTCACAGAAGCTCTCACAAGGCAATCTACTTTTGAAATGCTGCAAACTCACTTCAACAGCTGTTGATTCCAAATGGCTACCTGAGTATTCACTGTTTCCTGGTAGGAATTTAACAAACAAGTTAGGGGGCATCTCAACTAGGAACTGCTCTTTGCCCCATAAAAACCTCATTACCACCCTCAGAAACTCAAGGCTGGCTCTCACATTTGGCTGTGCCATAATAAAAGCAGGTGTCTTGCATCATGCACTTTTAAGTGGGATATTCAGAGCTGTTAAGTTTGAAAACCAAACCTACCAGTTCTGACCACCTCCATGCTGGATATGTAGTATACATCCACTCCCCTGGCTGGGGTGAGGAGGCAGAACAGGGGGGACATACAACGTGCTTATCTGGATCCATTCATGATCTGCTGCTGACCTAGGTGGCCAGTAGCTCTCCTCACTGATTAGAGCTGTTAACTCAGCTTGTTAGGATTAATTTAGAAGGAATATTTGGGAAAGATGAAATGTGGCTTCACAATCTCATATAAGGCACAGTCAGTGAAAGATAAAAGTATCCTAGTGGTCAACATCATGGGCTCATTGACTGACGCATAGAGAGCAGGCTACCAGGGACTTATATTACAGAAGAGTCTAGGGTTTTAGAAAGTATACCTGGGTTGGACTTTATGGTCTCAATGATCACGTCTGTCATTTCTCGACGACCAAGATGCTGATGTATGATTGTTGCTTTCTCCCCTGGTGACTTCCCTTCTAAACAGGCTACAGCTGAGGCGAGTGTCTTCTTTTTGATCTCCTCATCAGACATTTCCCCGGCTGAAGAATACATGAATGATTAATACCTGATAATAAAACGGGCTCCTCTCCACTCCTAATGTATCCACCGATCAGTTTCCCTTTTTCCTCTGTTGTTTTCCTACATCTCACTCACTTCCGGGGCTCCTGCAGTGCCCAGCTGACAGTCAATAAACACCCGGTGCAATAAATTCACAAACGCAGGGCTGTTCTACTGAAATTCTTCACTTTTAAGCAATTCAATAAGAACAGCTTGAAGAAGGTTTGACAGTGATTATATCCAGATGAACCAACCATCCTGTGACACATCTGCGTTGAGCTCACAATGAAGATATTAAGTCATTATTGTTAATAAATAAAACTTCCAAATACCCTGAGGTCTTCTTAGACACCTTGTGTTACACTCATGCCATGGTTCACATCATGCAAACCTGTGATCACCGTCTTAAATCAATGAAACACACAAAAATGGAAAAGGAATTTGGAGACTTGCCTGGAATGTCCTTAATATAAGTTCTACCACCAGGGCAGAGGCCAGACCTGTTTGCCCACCACTAACACCGCAGTGCCTACCTAGCCCTCACTGAGAGCTCTTTAAAGATTTATTGCGCAGATGTCCAAACGCGCCAGTGGTTCACCTGGGCAGAAGTGACTCAGTGGCCCAGGTAGATCGGGTTGCCTTTCAGAACTCAGACATCGCTTTTAGCCTTTGACAAGGGCTCATAACTCATTAAATCATCTGCACTCTTTACTTTGCATCTCCAAAATTCATATCCTCGGGGAAGTTTCCAACTACACCATCCCCCTTCCCAAACCGAAGGGAGCCTCGTGCACCAGTTTTCCAAACTGTTTCTTCCTTACCTTCACAGCGCTGATCCCAGGTGTAGTCCTAATTTATTCTGTAATTAATTCCTCAGCCTCCCCCGCCCCGCGCCCCCCCTCCCCCAACTGCTGGTTCCACCACAGCAGGGACCCCGTCTGATTCTGCACACAAACTAAAGCTCTAGCAGACAGGGAGCGCTCGGCGAGTATGCCCTGAATGAATGTCACTGCCAGGTAGTCGCTCGAGGTCCAAGCAGCAGTCACAGGTGCGCCTCCAGCCCACGGAGGGCCGCGTGGGGGGTCGGAGGCTCCCGAGCCCAGCTCTCGAGTTAGAATCCCCGGCCCACCGCTTACAGATAATCGTGGGCAAGTCATTTACTCAGTGGGTTTGGGTTTCGGTTTCCCAAACTGTGAAAAGGGGCACCCACCCATCCAACCTCAAAGAGCTGTTAAGATAAAAATAATGCATACAGGCCAGCGCTGGGATATAGGAAGTGCACAAACGCTATCATCATTACCATTGTTACATTACCTGGCGTTTTAGGTGAATATTTTTTTCAAAGGGGAACGAGTTCATTAAACCAGGGGCCGCCAGCGGGAACCCAACCCCCTGCCTTCACAAAGCCTGGAGGAGAGCAACTGACAAAAGTCGCCTCTGCCCCAGGGCGGCGCCGCGCCACGCCGCGCCAGGTATAAACAGAGATCCCGTGGGTAGACGCCACAGGGAGGGACCGCGAAGGCCTCCTCTGGAAAGACGGGAAGAGGGGGAACCAACCCCCTCCCAGCTTCTTCTTAAGGCAATGGCCCTCGCCACGGCCTGTCCCCAGTCTCATACTTTCGGGGGACAAGTTCCCCCCGGGGCCCAGAGGCGGGCCACAGGGAAGGCGGCAGGACTCACCCGCGGCGCTGAAGCCGAAGCCGGCGGGGACGGGCGAGTGTTCTGCGAGCTCCAGTCGGATGACAACCAGTGACACACTCATAGGGCAGGCGCTGGCCGGCGCAGGCCCCGGCGGGCTCAGGAGAGGCTGGAAGGCGAGCTGGGAGGCCGAGCGGCCCGAGGCGGGGAGCGCCGCCACCACCTCAGCGCCGCTGTCGCCGCCTCCGCACAGCAGCTCCTCTCCCGACCCTCAGAGCCACAACAACCGCCACTTCCGCCTCCCGGCCGCCGTCGCCGACCCACAGGGTTACGCCTGCGCGGACGAGCGCGCGCCGCGATTGGCTGGGGTAGCAGGCACGTGGCTGGCGTGAAGGCGTGGAGCTCGAGCTCCCTGGACAGGATCTCGACGAAGTTGGGAAGGAGGAACGTCGCAGGCGTTGCGGACACTACCTTCCGCCAACATTAGGCCGATCGGTGGGTTTGCGCCCAAGCCCGAGTTAACGTACCCGACAGGCCTCGCCTCCAGCCCACCCCAGCTGGCGGCGCGGGGTCTCCAGCTCCGCGAGGTGTGCGAATTGTCCGAAGTACCCGCATTATACGGAGAGCTCTTGCTTCATTTGGTCGGGTTTGACCGCTAGCTCTAAGTCTAGGCAGGGTTGCTTAGTGTCAGCCCCACTTTGCAAATGGGTACGTTGAGACTCGTGTGAATCCACTTCTCGGAGGGCCCGTAGGAGGCGTAGGGACTCGATTGCAGTGATTTTGACTCTGTTAAGCTACGGCAGTGGGCTGGTTGAAAGCAAAGTGCTGGAGATAGGTCCGGGTCCTGCTACCCCGCCCCATCTCTTCACAGACGTTTACTGAGAGCGTAGGGCACTGTTGAGGTGGTGGGGATACCTTGGTGAATAAGATAAACACCCAGTTCCTGTTCTCATGGAGTTGTCCTTGAGCACCAGTTGTATGACCTTGATCTAGGTTTTTCATTAAATTAGAATAATATCCTCATACAGCTGTGAGGATGAAATGAATATAGTCTGTGACTCCATATACATCAGTTTTTCTGAGATCCAGCATTCTTTCCAGTATGCCTTTAGCTCATAGATACTGAGAGCCACAATCAATACATATGGCACATACATGACCAGTTGCTATTCTAGGTATACTTTAATATCTAGATGTGTAACAGCACATCCTAGACATGTATAGGCATGTAGACTATATATGCACATAGCATGACCACATGATATACGTGCATATATACCATGTGACTGTACCTTATGAAATATGTTTTGGTGTACACTATCAGGGTTTCTCAACTTCTTCACAACCTCTTCACTGCTGACATTTTGAGTCCTGATAATTCTGGGTGCATGTTTCCTATGCTTTGTAAAGTGTTTAGCAGCGTCCTGGCCTCACCCACTAGATACCAGTGGCACTCCCCAAGTGGTGATGACCAAAATGTCTTCAGGCATTGCCAAAGGTCCCCTTGGGGCCAAAATTTGCCCCTTGTTAATAATCACTGGTTTATGTGAAAGTACATATGCCATATGCACATAGTATATGCATATAACATGAGACCTTGTGCAAACATTTTATAATATATTACAGTAGTAGATAACATTTAATAGTGTGCCAGATACTAAAGTACTCTACATACTTTATCTCATGTAATAGTAACAATGACATTATGAGATAGGTACTGTAATTATTCCCATTTTACAGAGGAAGAACCTGAGGCTCAGAGAGAGAGAGAGAGTAACTTGCTTAGGATCTCACACTTAGTCAATGGCAGAGCTAGAATCTGAACCCAAACTATCTGATTCCAGAGCCAACACTCAATCTCTTTACTAAATCTTCTTAATGTATAACACAGTGCGTGTGCTTACTTATGATGGCATAGTTTAAGTGGCAAATCTATATTTTACTAATTTCTTTTTTCCTGAGAGACAGAGAGAAGATACACGTTCTTTACCACACAGAGGAAAGGTGCAGGTTTCCGCAAACTAGAATTGTTAGCTAGAGATGGACAGGTTGGTCTTGTCACAGTTCTTTGGGGCTCGCTACAACTAAATCTGTCTCATAATTTTCCTCTGTTTTCTGATTCACCCAGCAATTCATCCTTCCAACTCATTTATTCTGAGCTTGTTCTGTGTGTCTAGATACTGTGCTAAGCCCCAGGGGATAGAGCTATACAAAGATAAGATAATCTTGCCTTAATGAGTTTACTATTATAGGAGCAGATAGACATGAAAACAGTTCTTCGTAATGGAATAACTTCTAGTGAAGGTATGAAGAAAAGCAATAGGAGTGGGGGAAAAAAGTAACAAAGTCTGCCTGGAAAAGGAAAGAAAAGCCTCTCTGGAGGGGGAAGCTGAGGCTGTCATGTAAAAGTGAAGGGACTTCACAGGCCGATAAAGGCAGTTCGATCAGTGGACTTTGCAGGTATCACGGCCTGGAGATATGAGAAATCACACCATTTTCCTTCTCTGAAGAAAGTTTTGGGAAGCAGCTAGAACAGAACCGTCATCTCCAAATGGATGAATAAGAATAAGCAAGCTAGTCACGGGAGCGTTGCCCACTCATCCATTAGAGGGAGTACGTGGAGCAGGACTGTGTTGTCAGTGAGGACAAAGATCAGTCCTTCAGGCCCCAGAGACACCTTTCGTCTCTGTTAAGCCCTCACACAAAATGTGTTGGTGCTTTTCGGAGCCTATAAATAAATTTCTCCTTCCATTATAAACTTTGGCCTTGGCATTGGAACATAAGTAAAACTGAAAACGCAAATCAACCTCTAAATTTTTCATTTCAAAATTCATTCCTCAATTCAGCAAATTCCCAATTACATGAGAAACACAGTGTAACATCTTCAAGATTTACTGCTCAAGAATCTTTTCTGTAGACCCTTAGTTTACTGAATCCTTAGGGTAGCACTGACATGATGCTCATAAACTTGTAGGCTCTCTTACCAACCTGTTTTGCTCTAACCTGGTTTTTGGTAAGCTTTTCTACTACAGAAATCATGTAAAAAAAACTTAAAGATTTTCTTGAGGAACTGACTGTAAATAGAATTTGCATTAATTATTTTGTTGTCCCCCCGACGAGTTTTGAAGCTCAGACCTATAGAAAACTTTAAAGAATAGTATAAGATCTCTCAATACCCTACATCGTATAACTTTCACTTAAATGACTATTAACATTTTGCCATATTTGATTTGTCTCTCTATATGCATCCATAGGTATATACCTATATATGTATGTGTGTGTGTTCTGTGTACATTCTTGTTTTTTTCTGAACCTTTTGAAACTAAGTTTGGGCAAGAGGCATGATGGAGAACAGTTAGGGAACCATTGCAGTCACCTGAAGGAGGGATGATGGCATGATGGTGGCTTCAGAAGTGCTAGGAGGAAGTAAGTACAGGCACCTTAGGAATATATAGGAGAGACTCCTCATCGATCTTTTCTAGTAGCCAGAAGAGGAAGGAAGTGACAGGTAAAGTATGACCTAAAGGACAATTTGGAATTAGCCAGGTAGCTGGTGGAAGGGAGCATCCCAGGCCAAGGAAATAGCATATGAAAGGCCTAGTAGCAGGAGAACATTGCTTGAGGAAGCTGCATGTAAATTTGTGTGTCTAGCTCATCCAGGCTAACACGTAAAAATTTGGGGAGGCAGATCTTAAAGGGCCTTGTAAGTCAGGTTAAGAAAGTTTTTCTTGAGGGCAATGGGGAGCCATTGAAGTTTTTAAATGGGGTTAGGATGTGATCGAATTTACATTTTTGAAAGATTACTCTGGCTGAAGAGTGAAGAAAGAATGGGAAGGAGGTTTGAGAAGAGGCAAGGGGACCATTTCGGGGAGCTGTTGCCATGATCTGTGGGTGAGATGCTGGCCGTGAGAGTGGAGGGAGGTCGTGGAGATTTCGGGAGGAACTGACAGCCCAGAACAACTGGAGTCGCTGGGTGGAGGACCAAGGGAAGCCAGGGGCCAACGCCAGGGTCCCAGCATGCGCAGCACGGTGACTGGCAGAGCCCTTTACCGAGCTGAGGACCCTGGAAAAAAGGAGTAGTCAGGGAGGGCGGAGACAGAGCCCAGTTGTTGTTGTGGTTTAAAGTAATTGTTGGAGATCAGGGGAGACATCCAGTTGACACTCCCGAGCTCCAGGGTGGAGGTATGGATTGGAGGCAGTCAAGACAAACTGCGCCCTGTGCCTCCTTACGCAGCTCTGGCCTCAGCATGCGCACAGGACAGCTTTTCCGGCCTTCCCGTCTCCAGTGGGCCTGGAGGGCAGCCTTCCTGAAGCCCCACCCGTGTGCGCACCGGGGAGCCTGGCGAGGGATGCATTCTGAAGGCGGACCCTACAGAGCGGTCATTTTTGACGTGGGTGGAGTTCTCATTCCTTCTCCAGGGAGAGTGGCTGCAGGTGAGCTTTCCATTCTGTTTCACTTTCAGAGACGGGCGAGAGTAGGGAAATGGAGGGCAGTAAGGGGGGGTGGAGAGGGACATTTGGGCACCAGTGTGTCCCAGTGGGTAATATTCTGGCTCTTGAATCCAATTCCAGGCACCACTTAATGGCTGATGATGTCGGGCAAATTATTCATCTCTGAGCCTTAGTTTCATCATTAAATCAGGGCTAATAATGGTACCTACCTCTTTGGGGTTTGCGGAGAGGGAAAAGAGATGGTCCACAGCCTTCAGCTCACCTAAAATTCCCAGCACGTTACAAGGTGCCACAGGTGCCACTGTTATGGGTGGGATTTAACTACCTTTCCCTGAGACCTGTGCTGCTTCTCAGGTCGTGAACGCTGAAACCCCCACCTTTGATCACAGCCTTCCCTCTGCCACCAACCTCCCTGACTCTCCAGGAGCAAACCGCTAGTCTCTGACTCTTTATCAGACACTCTTGGTTTTACCTTTTTTTTTTTTCCTGCTTAGTTTAACTAGCTTAAGTTTGACTAATTTTGCCTCTAGGTGTTAGAAAACCTAACAAAACAGTGACTGAAACCAGATAGAGGTGTATTTCTTGCGCACATGAAAGCCCAGGTACGCGGCTGGAGCTAGCGCGCAGCTCTGCATGATCAGGGACTCGGGCTCTTTCTTTTGCACTGCCCTGCAGTGGGGTCTGTCTTGGTTGTTTTGCTTCCTGCCATCACATCCTCATTCCAGCCAGCAGGAAGGGAGAAGGGCTAAACAGCTGTCCCTGTCCTTTTGACCTGCTGTGGCGGCTGGTTGGGCAATTCTCCATGCTAAAGTAACTCAAGTACACGTTCTCTGTGCTCCTGGGTAAAAAATTACCCAGCTGTGCAAACTGGCTAAGTGAGCTGTTTTGTTGTTGTCGTTCCAGGAGTAGCTGGGCCCCCAGCTCCTACCTTCCTGCACTCACATCCCTCTCGCTTTTACCGCAGGGCTGTTGCTACCCGCCCCACAACGCGTCATGCTGCCCCACCCAAACCTTCTTACTTGGTGACAGAGCGTAACGATTGCTGGGCAGGCATCTTCTTGACTTTTTCTAGAACATTTTGAGAACCATTTGCCTCTCTCCACCCCCGCTGCCTTAACCCATTTATAGCCCTGTCTTCTCGGCAGCACTCAAAGTGTGCGACCTGCTGAGGTAGATTGCCTGCTGCCCTCCACCCCTCCCTGCTGGCGCCAGCCTTCATTGGTTGTCATTGTGAAAAGCTTCTTGTGTATCCTTCAGAAAATTACTTGTGTGTGTGTATGTGCATACATATGAGAGTGTGTCTATGTATGCGTGTGTGTAAGATGTGCATACACAAATACACAAATGGGATCATACTCTACAAACTCTTCCTTTTTTTGACTCAGTAGATTATCTTGGCACCTTTTCACATCACTAGGCATAGGTATAGTTCAGGAGCTAGCAAACTTTTCAAATAAAGGAACAGATAGGCTTTGCAAGCCTTGTGTCTCTGTCACAACTCTTCACTTCTGCTGTAGGGAGAAAGCAGAGATAGACAACAGTGAAGGAATAGGCATGGCTCTGTTCCAATAAAACTTTTTCTTCAAAAACAGATGGAAAACAGATTTGGCCCCTACACTGCATTTTGCTTCCTGTAGTCTAGTTTATATACTTTAGCATCTGTGAGGTAGTGATTTAACAAGCTCTTTATTAATACAGTTACGTTTCTAGTTCCTTTTTTAATATTTTATTTATTTAGTTTTAGAGAGAGGGGAAGGGAGACAGGAAGAGAGGGTGAGAAACTAATGGGTTGCTTCTTGGACTCACCCCAGCGAACGAGGGGCCTTCCGCTTTGTGGGACGATGCCCAATCAAGAGCCATACTCGTCAGGGCTCTAGTTTTTTTTTTTTATTACAAGCAATTCTGCACAAACAGCCTGTATATAATCTTTGCTTACTTTTACAAACACATGTGTGGGAGAAATCCCTAGAAGCGGAATCACTGTACCAAACGCACGTGTGTTTAAAGTTGTGCTGTCCAGTGAGGCTGCGCTTGTTCCCACTCCCGCCAGCAGCATGGGTGCGTGCCAGTTTCCTTAGGCGTTTGCCAGCTCTGAGACCTTGAAAGATGCTGTACCCTTTGGTTCTAAAATTAAAGAAGTATTACTGTTCGGAATGAGTTTTAAAAGTCTTGCTGTCCTCAAAATACGTGCTCCAAATTGGTAACGGTTATTTCTAAGAATGAGATTGTTTGTCATTTAGTTTCTTTTTATGCCTTTCTATCTTGTCTGAAATCAAAACAGAAGATATATGTAAGTTATATTATGTCTTAGATATAATTATGAATGATATCTGTCTACCTGTCCTTGCCCCATAGCAGCAGCATATAGGAAAAAAACAACTTTGTATAAGAAAAGGCAGGCCTTGACCAGATGTTTCCAGTATATACAAATGCAATCCATCCTCTGTAGAGAGACATCTTCTTCTTTATTCTTCAAAGACAGCATCCCTCAAGGGAAGGTTTCAGAGCACCCACTGCACAGCCGTCAAGGGTCACTACAGTTCACCAAATGAAGGGCTTCTTCTGTAGCGCTGTCAGAACCTGGCTCATTACCACATGTACCTCCTTACTACGTGGCCAGGATTGTGTGAGGGACCTCGTGAGTATGCGCGAGCTCATGGGAAACCCGAGAACATTTATACTGCGGCGTCCAGTGTCATCTCAAGCAGGTAGTAAGGACGTGAGGCGTAGCAGCGGGGTCCGCTCAGGCACGCAGATCGGTACTGCTGTTCCCTTGCCGACCGAAGGCTGAGATCTGCACTTCCTGAATTTCTCCAAATTCCCAGTAGAGCCCACCTGGCACCACAGTGATGCCCCTGGCACTGGTGTGATTCCCTGAGCTCCCAAAACTGCAGCCATTTGTTAACGGATTTCACTTTTTGCATATCTTCCTTCCTATAGCATGGGAGGTAGAGAATCACATCCCTTCCGGAACCATATTGAAGGCCATGCTCTCAGGTGGCGAAGGTGGGCCATGGATGGCATTTATGAGAGGAGAGATAACAACCGAGGCTTTCTTACAAGAATTTGGGAGACACTGTTCTGAAATTGTGAGTGATAAATATATTTGAATTTCCGTATTTTTTTTTTTTTTGCCTAATACTCATCCGTATTTATTAAACTGCAAATAAAGAAGTGAAAATCTAATAACTCATTATACACTTCAAGCTGTTTCTTCCATCCCCTCGTACCCAACTTTAACCGCATATATGAATAAGTAAAAACAGTCCGTTACTAAGCCTCTCCATCAGCTACTGTTTATCTGAAACAGGAGCTGTCTGCAAATGGCTTTGATCAGAAAGCTTATTTAAGGAATAATAATATTGAGCCTTTTCTCTGTACTGTGTATTTTTCTAAGGTCTCTATATTAACTCATGTAACCTTCACAATAACCTTGCTAAAATTTAATTTAAAATATAGTAAATAAAGTTCTGTGGGTGGATGGTAGAGATGGTCGCACAACAATCAATGTACTTACAGACGTTCAACTGTATGCTTAAAGCGGTTAAAACGGTAAATTTTATGGTATATACATTTTTACCACAATTTTAAATATATAAATATATATCTTGAAAACATGTTGAGTGAAAAAAAAACAATCAAAAAAGACCACAGATTCTGTGATTCCATTTCTGTGAACTGTCTAGAAGAGGTTATGTCTCTAAGACACAGAAAGCAGATGAGTGATTTGCTGGACTGGGAGTATCGGGGTGTGGGGGAGAGAATGGGGAGCGACTGCTCATGGGTAAGGGGTTTCTTTTCAGGGTGGTGAAAATGTTCCAAGTATGGTTGGGGTGATGGTTGCACAACTTTGTGAATATATTAAAAACCATTGAATTGTATTGTTTCAATGGCTGAGTTGCATGGTATGTGAATTGTACTTCATTGAAGCTATTGTAAAATGTGTATGTGCATACAATAGCAGACTTGCCTTTGCAGATTTTAAAATATGATAAAATAAGAGTTTTCAAAACTCACACAGATTGAATTTTTAAAAATCGATCATAAACTGAGGTTCATAACGGTGATGCTGAGGCAATACCAAATCACTAAATGTCTTCTGGGTCACTGAAAATTAAATTACATCTACTTAATACACTTTCAGAGTTTAAATGTATCCTCTTTTGGTGTCCTGCTACTTTTTAAAATTGACATCCCATGAGTGAGATGAGTGGAATACTGATAGAAATAACTCCATTCCCTAACCATTGTAACTCTAATTCAAAGTCATTTTTCATCATCTTATATGCAAAGTTCTGCAGATGGCTGAGGGAGAGGATTCCTTTAGGCAGCAAGCCAAAGGCCCCGGCTTTTACAGCCACGTAGCAGCAGGAAGCTGGGAGTATGTCTTTTTCTCTGTTGGTGATAAGCTGGTTTTACTCTTAATGACTGCTTGCCCCCCCACGCCCCACTTTTAGTCAGAGACCTGTGTGCCCGTGGGCTCCTTCTTCTCTCTGCTGACCGGTGAGCAGGTGGCGACGCAGTTCCCAGTGATGACTGAGGCCATAGCTCGAATTCGGGCCAAAGGACTTCAGACTGCAGTCTTGAGCAATAATTTTTATCTTTCCAATGGCAAAAGCTTTTTGCCCCTGGACCGGAAGCAGTTTGATGTGGTAAGTTTGAAGTGATCCCAAACAATAATCAAAACAGTCTGCTCTTGCTGTAGGATGCAACATTGAATGCTGCCTTTTGGCAGGCCCTGAGTGGTGGGTACTTTTATTCAGATCCTTGACTAAGTTAGGTTTAGACGTAACAGGTTGAAAAGAGGACTTTTAAAATATCACTGAGCTCTTAGCAAAGTCACACATTTGTGGGATTTGATAAGTGGTTGAAACCTCAGCTTGAAGACTTACATTCTGGGTATGAATCTTAGTCACCACGTAACACACCCACTTCCGTCAGCCCTCTGACTAGGCCCTTGAGCCTTTCTCTTCAAAGGCCAGCCACACTGCCCTCTATTTCTGGGGCATCAATCCTCAGACCAGCACTATCCAGTGAGACCCCTGCAGTCATGGATATGTCCAGTATGGTCGCTACTAGTCACATGTGGCTATTAGGCACTTGAAATGTGGCTGATGTGACCAAGGAACTGAATTCTATTTCCTTTTAATTAATTTAAATGTAAATAACCCCATACGGCCTAGTAGCTGTTGTAATAGACAGCGCATGCAGTGCCAGGCTATCGCAGTGCCAGGAAGTCACACATAGGAGGGTTCCCCATTTCCCTAAGAGGAGATAGGTCATTATCCTGGGATAGTTATAAATTATTGGCAGATGATTTGCTTAAACTACAAACCGATTCTTACTGAGCAACTACTGCGTGCCGGGCCCTGGCTGTGCGTGAGGGGGTGCTGTGTTCACTGGGGCAGCCACAGTCCCCGCCCGCTGGAATGCGCACTTACCACGTTGCATGCTCTCACTCACCACCTGAGTCTGGTGGTGGTTACTGGGATGGAGAGACAGCATTTCTATCCCTGTGCAGAGTTCCACTGGATCGTGCCATTTTAGAACATAAAATCCAGTCGAATTGACAGGCAGAAATTCAGAGCACAAGTGTTGGAAATTAGCCTCCTCACCTAATGATGCTTCCCCCTCCTACCTCCTCTCTCTCCTTGTAAGAGCCTGGCAGAGAGAGTTCTCTCCCCTCTGGACACGCTGTCTGGCTCCTCACCTGCTTAGATCGTTGTTTTCCCCCCTTGTCCACAGTGCGGCGCACCTCCAAGTTCCCTCCCCTCTGAATGCTCAGGGACCTCATCCAGAATCCAGTCCTGCCTCTGCCACTGGCCAGGCTGGTGACCACGGCCCATAGCCTTGCTTTCCTCAACCTCAGTCTTCTCACCTGTAATATGGGAATAGCAATTTCTTTATTGTAGGGTAGCTGTGCAGGCCCCAGAAGATACTGCATGCAAAGCAGTCTGCGCAGTGCCTGGCACATACGCAAATCTTCAGTACAGAGATTCCTTCCACCAAGTGTGGCTGCAGGGGTGATACCTTCATCTGGGCAACTGAAGTTGGCCAGGCTCGCATTAGGCTCTTCCACAAGAAGCTACAATTTAAAAGGTCTGTGAACTAGCTTAAAACAATGGACTTGTCCACTCAGACCCCACAGCCCTCTGGCTTATGCTTCCCAGCTGCTTTTTGGACCAGTTTTCATATTTCAGCTCGGTAGGAGGCCTGGAGTTTTGAAAATCCATTTCCTCAAGAACAAGTGTTTAGATGTTTGTTCTCTAAAGCTATAAGGCAGGAAGAAAATTTTTTTGGTAGAGATAAAGATAGTGTAACCACTTCTATGATCACTGTTGACACTGGAGGCTATTCCTGAACTCCTCAACCAATGTTACTGGGATCTCTCTCTGTTGAGGTGCATGTGGCTTTGGAAAAAAATTTCCTCTAGCCCTGGCTGATGTGGCTCAGTTGGTTGGAGTGTCATCCAAAAGGCTGTGGATTTGATTCCTGTTCAGGGCACACAACTTGGTTGTGGGCTTGCCTAGGTTGAAGGTTTGGTCCGCGGTTGGGGAGCATACAGGAGGCAGCTGTTCAAGGTTTCTCTCACATCTATGCTTTTCCTTCTCTCCCTTCTTCCTTTCTCTAAAAAGAAAAATGTCAATAAAAATGTTTTTTTAAATTTCATCTAATTAAAAAAATTATTTTACATTATTACTGTAAAATAACACATTATATAAAATTGACCATCTTAACTATTTTTTAAGTGTATAGTTCAGTAGTGTTAACTGTATTCACATTATTGTAAAACAAATCTCCAGAACTTTTTTATCTTGTAAGGTAGAATAGAAAGAAGGGCAGGGATTTCATCAAACTTAAGTCTTAAGAATTTTTTACTTTGCCCCAAACGTAACCACCCACGAGGAGAGATGTCTGCTTGTCAGGACTCGGCTCCAGCCCCCGGGCTCTGTGTCCTCTCTTTTCTCCTGCCTCAGCCAGTACTGCTGTGTGGCTTCCCTGCAGCGCAATACATTGATTGGTGTCTGAAACACCCAGCTTCTCTGCTACCCACTATTGACATTTTCTTTAAAAAGCGCTCCTTTGTCTTTTTAGCTCATTCAGGTCCTTAGGCGACCAGGAAGAGAGGTCCCGTTTACTCAGGACATTTACCTACCAAAAAGGGCAGTTCTGGCCAACCCTCAAATAATGCCAATGTGAGGTAGAGGGAAGGGCCCTCAGGTTTGTCCTTGGACTTGGAGAAATGGGTCATTACAGGAGTGAGTCAGGGACTTATTTCTATTCTTAGGGCAACCCAGAGGCTATTGGTGGTAGGCGTCTGTGGCCATCTGAGGCCCACTTTAGAGGAGACTCAGCCCTGGGGACAGTATAAGAGGGGACTCCCAGCTGGGTGAGGGGTAGCCTGATACGGAGACTGAGACGGCGTTTCCTGGGCTCTCCTGAACCCTCAGCAGCTCCCACCCCTGCCCGCCCCAAGGCAGATACACAGCTGAAGCGAGGCTGTCAGGGTGCAGGAGGCTCTTTATAAGAAAGGAAGTGTCTTTGCTCCCAACAGTCTGTTTGGTGTCAGCCTTCCTGTGGGATTTATTCGTGCAAATTGGGTATGGCTATTTTTTAACTTTTGAAATATAGATATTAGAGTCCTATGCCTTTTGTAACAGTAAACAATGCCTTATTCCTGGAAAAATGATGAAATACTTTCCCTAAAACCGAAATGTACAGCTTTCCTTCTGCTCAGCGTAGGCACAGTATCTAACATTAGCAAAATGCTTTGTCATCCTGGAACTCATTGATGTTCCCTTAAGTGTCACAACAACCACTAGGACAGGTAAGATTGCTACTGGTGTCCCCGCTGTCCTGATGATGAGACTGGGGCCCACCGCAGCTTCGCCGTCTGTACAAGGACTTCGGTTTTCTGAGTTTTCCCTCAGGTTTTAATCCAGGATGTTCAAATCTCTCAATTTAAAAGAGCAACAGCGTTTTCTCAAAATACTCTCAGGTGACTTGTTATAACCAACCTCAACTGTCTTCCTTCTGCTCCATAAAAAAAATTCAGCAGCGTACATGTGGGAGCTCCACTTTCAGGGCCGTTCACCGCTCATTCCCATCCCCCCAGGTCGTGGAGTCCTGTCTGGAAGGCATCTGTAAGCCAGACCCCAGGATATATAAGCTGTGCTTGGAGCGGCTCGGCCGGCAGCCTTCTGAGTCCATCTTTCTCGATGACCTTGGGCAGAATCTCAAAGCAGCTGCCAGCCTGGGTATGCACACCATCAAGGTAATGATCACGGTTCCTTGAAGCCCTACTGTGCGCCAGGCACTAGTGTGAGTGTCTTGGCACAGTCCGTTTACATTCGTATTGGTAGCTGCCCGCAGTGCTGTTCCCCAGGTTGCTGTGGCCTGTTTGTTTTTTAATTCTGAAATCTGTGTGACTGGCTGCTGGGATTTTTAATGGCAAGTAGGACAAACATGTACTAAGAAGGCAGTTTGAGAAGAGGTACACAGGAGGTGAGTGGCAGGGTGCACAATTTGGGATGGCAGCCACAGGCTGTCCTTGAGATGCTCTTCTGGGAGGGGCGCCAGCAGCCACCAGCCCCGCAGTTCAGCCCACGTCGTGGCCGAGAGGCCACAGGAGAGGGCCCCGGGTCCAGCTGTCCACGTCGAGTTTTCCTTCTGAGGCTGACGGGCTCGCAGGGACAGAGTGGACGCTGCAGCACAGCATCCTCCCCTCCTGGCACGAGGCAGTGCCGTGGACTCTTAACCAGACCTCTTCCCTGCAGATAGGAAGCTGAATGTGCTTAGGAATTAAATGGGAAGAGGAAACTCATTTTATGGCTTCCTCATTACCTGAATATCCTGACTTCAAAGTCCTTGCCCAGAGAACTGAGTTCTTGGATATTTCCTTCTAAAAGCTACCATCTTAGAGAACAGACAGGAAGAGAGGTCAAGGTCGACTGGTGGCATTTTCAATATTTTCTTTGAAACCAGGTCAATGACCCAGAGGCTGCAGTAAAGGAATTAGAAACTCTTTTGGGTTTTACCTTGAGAACGGTTGTTCCAAACACTTGCCCCGTGAGAGACACAATGAAAATTTCCAGAGATCCCTTGGAGAAGTACCTCAGAGACTTGCTGGGGACCCAAACCACAGGTATTTGAGTTTTTATATTTTGGTAATGCCTTCCGAGGTCAGGCTTTCAGTCTGGTTCTTACTTTCAAACCCTGGTGGAATGTGCCAGAGACAAAGCGGCAACGTGGTGAGGAAAACAGCCACTGAGCCCAGCGAGTCTGGGCGCTGCTTTCGATTTTGCTTGGGAAGAAGCACTCACCTCCATTTTTATGGATCCTCAAAAGAGAAGCTTCCCACTCTTCCTCTGAGAGCGTGGTGTGGCAGCAGTCGCCCGCAAACAGCTGTCAGGGAGGGGAGGGACCCGGGGTCTATAGAATGTGTCCAGGGCATTGGAAGGGTTTGTTTTGTTTTGTTTTGACAGCCTGTTTGTAAAGGTGACTTAAAAGTTGCATAATATAAAACGTGATAAGCTGTCTCCATCTCTTCAAAGTTCCCACCTTTCTTCACATTCCACCCTTAGAAAAACAGGTGCCTCGTGAGCTTTTGAAGACATTTCTACCAGGTGATAAAGTTTTGCCTCACCCAGTTAGTCCTTAAAAAGACTCTATGGAACTTCACACTATGATATGTTGCAGCAACTGGCACGTTCTCGGTGCCTCTACAGGCTGAGGGGCTCTTCCATCCAACTGCTAGCCCGGCCCGACCCTGCCGGGCTGCCGAGAGCCAGCATGTTTAGGGTGGCGTGGCCGTGGACTGAGGGGCCCTTTCAGACCAAGCCAGATAACTCAGGCTAACTCCCATTTCCTGCTCTTCTGATCAAGTGAAATAAATCTATGTCCAGAGGTCCTTCTTATTATGAAGCTGAGGGCTAACTAGGATATTTCTGCGAGGGAGACAAAGAGCTCAGCCTACTAGGGTGGGAAATCACATCTCATGAAAGCAGCTTTGGCTCAAGCTATAAGCCCCTGCTTAGCTCTGCCAGCTGTCACACCAGCGCCAGGTGTGGTTTGGCTGTGAACGGCCTGAAGGGCGCACAAGGGAACTTTGCATCCTCAGGCTTGAAGCATTCCATTAGCAAGATGGGTTGCCGTAACTGTGCTTGGGGCTGATAAACAAAACCAAAAAGCTTTTCTTCACGGAGCAGAAGTTGGCAAGAAGGACAAAACTAGACACCATACAAAGTGAGAGTATTATTGTGGTGGAAATCCAGTGGCCTTGCCACAGTGGAGTGGCACGTGATCCCGGATGCAGGCTGGTGGGTATGGTGCCATTCTGACAGTATGTCCCAAATGCTGAGCTCATTAGAAAGACAGACTCTCCTTTCAGCTCTCTCCTTCAGAGTGGGTTTGAGTTTCCTTTGTTTTCCCACTTGCAGGCCCGATGGAACTCCTTCAGTTTCATCATGGGCAGTCAAATCCAACTTACTACATCAGGCTGGCTGACCATCAACTGGTTCTGAGGAAGAAACCCCCGGGGACACTCCTTCCATCTGCCCACGCAGTGGAGAGGGAATTCAGGTAAGTCCCCAGGGCCCGGGCAGGCTTGCCGCTCGGCCTCTGCTGCTCCGCCCCTGAGCTGACCAGGCAGCACCCCATCGAGTGCCCTGAGACATTTAAAACTACAGGTGTGACCCCCCCCCAAATTATTTCAAGTAAGAACGTGTAACCTAATTTTATTCATAAGTTTGTTTTCTATACTGAAACCTGTAGGAAACTAGATATTTTTGGAACTTCTGGATGAAAAAAGGCATTATTAAGATACTCTTTAGTCTTACCCTGTAGTCTTAAAGACTCTAAGACCTTCAGTCTTAAAATCAATATATATTTTTAAAAGATTTTATTTATTTTTAGAGAGGGGAAGGGAGGGAGAAAGAGGGAAAGAAACATTGATTGGCTGCCTCTCACATGCGCCCCAACTGGGGATTGGACCCACAACCCAGGCCTGTGCTGTGGCCAGGAATCCAACTGCAATCTTTCTCTCTGCAGCACAGCACTCAACCAACCGAGCCACGTGAGTCAGGGCGAAATCAGTGTATTAATAGGGCTACAGCCCAACCAGTGTGGCCATGAGTTGATAATCATTGGAATGGGTGATGAGTACACAGGGCTTTTTGACGCAATTGATCTACTTATATATGTTTGAAATTTTCCATAATAAAATGTTTAGAAGAATAAATGTGTTACAGCTCATCCCAAATAAAATAGTTTGCTTTGCAAACAGGAAAATTTAAACATGGTAGATTTAAACAAAACTAACTCCAAATCTCTTGTAGAACGAGTATTGAAGCAATGAATGGCCCCCAGGGTGGGGCCTGCGCTCCTGAGACTCCCTCGTCCTCCTCTTCCTTCCAGGCTATCACTGCTGTGCAGAAGGGAAGTTGCGGAGGGTAGTAAGGACAATGCGATCTTGGCTCCTGGCCCCTTCTCGTTCTTTCTGTTTATTGTGTCTTTCCTGGACTCTTTGGTTCCTGAAATTTGACTTGTGTGAGTGTTGCAGGGACTGTCGACTGATGATTATGAAGCCTTGGGTTCAACAGAGAAGACCTATAGCTTTTTCTGAGCACCTGTATACGTGTCATGTAGAAGGAGTATTTATAGAAGAGAGACCCACCGTTCTAAAATGTAAACCACTGCTCTGTCTTACGCATCCGGCTTCTGAGCTCCCTCTTAATCATTCCCAGAGGCACTGAGGAATTCTGGAGTGTGGAGTGACATTCTGAAACTCCTGGGATGCACAGAATTCCCATATTAGTAAAGGAATAAAATGTGCATTTGCAAATGAAACCTAATATGGTATGTGTTTGTAAAATGCCAAATGTACATTTGAACAACTGTTTTGGAAAACAGTAGAGCAGCCATACTTTTAGACTTAATAATTCCAATTAGGAGGTCTCTCTTTAAAAAATAATTCTAAACAGGGAGAAAAGCTGTATGCATGAATATGCTCACCACAGTATTGTTTATAACAAAAAATTGGAAGCACCCTAAAGTTACAATAATTGGGAAGTGATTAAGTAAACCTTGGTAGATCTACTTGTGGCAACAACAATAGTAGTAATAGCTAACATTTGCTGAGTGTCACTATGTGCCAGGTGCCATAATAACAACAGCTCCATGATGTGCTGCTATTAATGATCCCCATTTTACAGATGTGGAAAGTGAGGCCAAAAGAGGTATGTGAGTGATGGAGCCTGGCTTCACGCCCATGGGCAGTGGGATTCCATAGCCCAGCCTTCATATTATACTATTATTGCAGCCAATAAAGGTATGCCTATAATAACATAAAATATGTATAAAATTTTAATGTAATAAAAGCAGATAAAAACCATATATAATATTATCTTACCTGGGTTTTTTTTTTAAACTTATGCATGGAAATAAAAAATTATTTTATTTAAAAATAAAATAATTTAAATTATTTAAATTATTTAAAAAATTATTTTTTATTAAAGGAAAAAGGAACAAACCACAATGTTTACCCAAGCCATGTTTGGGTAGCATGTTAGTGGTATTCTTCAGTTGCAAGTGACAGAAACCCACCAACTGACTTAAGCATTAAAAAAAAAAGGGGGAGGTGGTAAAATGTATTGGCTTTATAATTTAAATCTTGCATGCATGGCTGGATCCGGGGGCTCACATAATGTCACCAGGACCCGCTCATTCTCCCTCTTCATCTTTTAACTTTCTTTCCTAGATGACCCCAGGATCTTTCCAGCATACCTCCTGAGACTGACTCATTTGCCCGGTGTGGTCACTGGTTTGTCCCTGAACCAATCTCTGCGGTCAGGAGGATGCATCGTTCAGATTGGCCGTCTCAGAGTTTTATGCCCATTCCTGGAACCAGGAGTTGGGTCCGTTCCGTCCAAACCATGTGGACGACGGTGGGGGAGACCTGTCCCCCAGCTGACAGTCTAGGTCCTATGATCAGAACGATGAAGCGGTGAAAGGGACCCAGGCAGTCAAAGGAAAGAGCCAATTACTGGTGATGAGACTGTTTTCCTGTTTGAAAATTTTAAAAGTTCCTCCTTCACATGTTTCAGAGAATTTACCAGTAAAGCCATTGGGGCCTGGAGTTTTCTTTAAGAAAAGGTTTTTGACTATGAACTTAATTTAATAGATATTAGACTTTTTAAATATTAGTTTCTCTTCTGAGTCCTTCTTTGACTCATGGCTAATATGGAAGTGTTTTATTTGATTTCCAAATACTTGAGCTTTCTTCCTGATTATTAATGTAGTTACACCAGCTTTCTTATGCTTACCAATTGCATGGTACTTCCCTTTCCATCCATTTATTTTTTCCTACTTATCTTTTTTCTATCTACGTTTTTATATTAAAAGTATGTCTCTTGTATTCAGTATATAGTTAGAGCTTGCTTTGCTATCCAGCGTGACAATTTCTGTCTTCTAATTGGAATGTTTAGTCAATTCAACTTAATGTAATTATTGACAAGTTTGATGGTGGTCTATAATTTCACCATTTCTTTTTTGTTTGTTTCATCTGTTTTTTGTTATTGTCTACTCTTGGGTCAACTGAATATTTTTTAGAATGACATTTTAACTTCTGCACATAGTAATTTTTAAATCAGAAAAATAATTGCAAGAAAGTCTCATCAGCCCTGGCCAGGTAGCTCAGTGGGTTAGAGAGTCATCCCGAGACACCAAGGTTGTGGGTTCGATCCCTGGTCAAGGCACATACAAGAAGCAACCAATGACTGCATAGGTAAATGGAGCAGCAAGTCCATGTCTTTCTCTCTGTCTCTAGACATCAATTACAAAAATTTTTTTAATTAAAAAAAAAAAAGGAAGAAGAAGGAAAGTCTCACCAGCTCAGCCATCAGTGGTGCTCATCCCCCTTTGTCCCGGCAGGATAATGAAAGCCCTGGCAAACACTGGAGTGCCTGTCCCCAAAGTTCTTGACCTCTGTGAAGATTCAAGGTAATGTTCAGGTTTGTTTTTTCCCTTGAATATTCAAGCTACAAAAAAGCCAATAAAATACTAATTCAAATTCCAGTCTGTTACAGCAAAGACAAATTTGGGTAGGAGAGAAGAGAGACTTTATAGCGACTCCCCTAGAAGCTCACAGGTCTTTAAGTTTTCCAGAAAGATAAAGAAATGCCTGTTTTTGTGAGAATTCATGGAAAATATCTTTTTTAACATTATAAATATATATATCCATCTAGTTTATGTTGCTTGTTTTTGTTTAATCATTTTATCGCAGGCTTTCTGAACTTTTAAACTGCTTTGTAGTATGCTTTTTGAGTCTGTCCCTTCTTCCTAACTTTTTAATTATGAAAACTATGAAACATACATAAGAGTTGAAAGAAGAAATAATAGTATAACGAGCACCATTTACACTTTATCTAGATTAAAACATTGTTAACACTTTGCCACATTTCCTTTCTCTGTGTGTGTATATATGTATATATGGATATGTATGTGGAGTACATATATAAAATAATTGTATATAAACAGTAATACATAATTATTTTGTAAATAAGTATATTTTATGTGTATATATGTATAAGTTATTTTTAGCTGAACCTTTTGAAGTGAGTTGCAGGCAGCACACGTCTCCTGAAGTAAAGGCATTTCTTCCATAACCACAGCAGCATCATTACACTTGAGATAATTACTGTAATTCAATAGCATAAACACCTAGCTCATGTTCAGCTCAGGCTAAGTTATAACAATGGTAAATGTGTCAAAACAACTTGTTTTGAACACAATCAGTTGTTTAAACTGATTTCTAATAATGACCAAAAGATGACATTTCAGTGGTTCACCTTAATTCTATAGGGTGGTTTTATGCACCGTTTATGCCACTGGATAATGATAAAAATACCATTAATAATGAGAAGAGATATTTATTGAACCCTCATTGGAACCAAACACCTGTGCCAAGCACTTCATTTATATTTGCTCTCTTAATTCTTAAAACTACCCTTTGACGTTTTACAGATTAAAAACAAAAACACAGCGCAGACAGGCTCAGTAAATCTCTCATGATCACACCGCTAGGAAGGGGCAGGAGTCCTGTATGACTCTGAAGCCTCCTCTCTCAGCGAGCCGCCTCCCCGCCTTATCGACCTTAAACCCCCCCAGTGGCTTCTACACCTGGACCAAGGGAGAGAGAAGTGGGGGCGGGTGGCTGAGAAGCAGGCGCAGGGCTGTGTTCATGCGGACTGGCTGGGGAGGGAGTCCTGGTAACCCCCGTGCTCAAGCGCAAAGGAAAAGGGAAATGTCCAACACTCTGGGTCCGAATCCCCTGCCCCCAGCACTCACAGTGTTCACCCAGGATGGAAAGGGCGGAGCCCGGGCCACAGAAACACCCCGTCTGTATCCCTCCCAGGATCATTGGCACACCCTTCTACCTGATGGAGTACTGCCCAGGCCTCGTCTACAAGAACTCCACTCTGCCGGGCTTGCAGCCTAGCCAGAGGCAGGCCATATACACTGCCATGAACAGAGTCCTGTGCAAAATCCACAGTGTGGACTTCAAGGCTGCAGGCCTAGAAGACTACGGGAAGCATGGTGAGCACAAGGCCGCTTGTTTTCTGCACTGAACATTTCCTCGCCGTTCCCTCTGCTGTCAGGACTTGTGTGCGTCAGGGTTTTAATGCACCAAGCAGTTGCTACTTGTGAGGGGGGCTTATTAACTTTCTCCTTGGAAATGCAGTTTCATTTTAATGTAGATGTCACTTACCTGGACATTTTGTCCTGGGATAAACCCTGTCATAGACTCAGAATCTCTCTTCCCTGCAACTTTTATCTCACCAGATCGTTTAATGTCTTTTTTCTGATTTGGCCAAGGTCATTTAAGATACTTTCTCTGTTTTTCATCTTTTCCCATAAGTGTTCTTTCAACAGCAATGGATTTTTTAAATGCCATTGCGCCAGGGCGTTTTGTTTGTGTAGTTCGTTTCTGCTTTTTTTACTGTCTGAGAGTTCCAATTGCTCCTCATCCTTGCCAGCATTCTGTATGGTCATTTTTTTTTTAAGTCAGATGTGTTGAACCATAGCATTCTATGAATCCTGAGAAGCGCAGTTTTATAACCACTACCACCATTGTCTCCAGGCTTTTGCCTGCCGAAATGTCACCAATGAGCCAGAGAGTCTCACCTTTCCCACTCTGCAAAGGTCAAGAGTATCTGCTTCTTGGCCAGTATGGATCCCTGACCATAGTCAAAAGAATCTTTTAGCTAAGCCATATTTTCTTTATATATATATGTGTGTGTGTGTGTGTGTGTGTATATTTATTTTCTATATATATATTTTTTCTATATATAGAGATATATATAAATATAGATATATAAATATCTATATATAAATATATATATATATTTATATATCTATATATATCTAGATATATAAATATATATCTAGATATATCTATATATATCTAGATATATATATATAGAAAATATCTATCTCTATATATATTTTCTTTTTTCTCTGCTTTTAACCAAAACATGCCTGGTTTTCTGTAGGACCGTGTCAAAGGCTGCAATATGTGTCCAAAGTACATCAACTTCCTAAACATTTCTGCCAAGTTATTCCCAGTCCCACCACTCCACATGCACGTGATCTGAGTCCCCAAAACTAACAGTTTGAGATACTTCGTTACAACAGAGGAGGCCTGCCAAATTCACCTCCGAATTGAGGGGGTCCTTGCTGCCTTACCCCTTCCAAGTTCAGCCAGATCCATATGGTCCCCTGTATTCTATCCTGTGGGAAATAGACACTCAGTGGGGGTTCCCCTCCGTCTTGGTGGCCTCTTTGGGAAACACACTGAAAATATGTTCATAGTTCACCTGAAGTTCAAATTTAAGTGGGCATCCTGTATTTTATCTGGCAGCCCTCATTCCCAGGGGAAGGGCCACAGGCAAAGACAACTGATGTCACCTGTATTGACCCTTGTTTCAGATGAAGGCGCATTGGACCAGAAGTTGGATGATAATTTGTTGGGTAACCTTAGGCAAGTCATATTACTTTGTCACAGTTTTCACAATAGTAAGGTGTTTGGTAAAAAAAATTAAGAAAGAAAGAAAATAATAAAAATGCAGCCCTGCCCTGCCTCCCTCAGAGGGCTGACCTATCAACCTTTTTGAGTGTGTGTGCGCGCACGCGCGTGTACATGACTAACAAAGCTGTAGAGTCTCTGACACTTCATTCCTAAACACTTCACTATACATTTCTTAAAAAGGGGGACATGCCTCAGCGCCACTATCACATCCAAGAACATACAGTTTTCCCCAAATATCTAAAACCCAGTCCATATTCACATTTCCTCACTATCCCCCTTAGATCTTACACATGAAGGATTTTCCCAAATCAGGATCCAGTTAAGGAATCCAGCACCGTCCCCCCAATACCTCATAGAGTTGTCTCAGATATTTCCTTACCTGTTTCACTTACTGCTATCTTCTATTTCCTGTAGTTCTGAAAACTGGAAGTTAGTTTTGAAGGGTTGATTTGTTTCAGGTTAAACTCCTGTGGACTTTGACCTTCACCTCTCAGGGCCCAGCTGGGTCCTCTGCAGGGCAGGCGTCGGGTGCCCTGAGTGTGCAGTGGGCTCCACAGAAGGAGCAGGATCACTCCGTCCCTGCCTCCAAACCCTTTGGCCTGTGGAGACCATTTTTCTCTCAGTTGAGTGGTGAAGGCTTGGCTTAGAGCCGGGTGCCTGGCACGTGTTTATTATTGGTTATAATAATACTGATAATCAGTAACTGGCAGTTGACAAACATGGTGATAGTAATAATGTCCACCATTCACTGAGCATCCTTGCGTGCCAGCTCTGGACAGCTCTTGGCATGTCACGTAGGGATTTCGTTGAGCCTTCACGACAGTCCTACAGGATTTAGGATTAATCCACTACACAGAGGAAGCAAAGGAGGGATTCTCAGAGAGGTTAAGCCAACTAAAGACCTTGACTGGGAGCCGAGTTAACTCCAGAATTCCTTTCAGTGTCCAGTCCCAGATGTAGCTTGCAAGTTCCCCAACTGCTGTGTTTCTTGGGTTTCCGAACAAACAACCGAACCATAATAGGGAGTCCTGATGTAGCACTCACATCAGGGGCTCTCCATGGTTGACCCTCCCAGCGGCCGCGTGAGGGCCATCTCGGCGGTAACGATGAGCCGAGGCCCAGTGAGAGGGCGGCCGGGCTGGGCTTCGGATGCAGGCGGCCCGGCCGCAGCCTCCTGGCTCTTAGCCAGCCACTGTTGTGGAGCCACAAAGGGGTTTCCTAAAGCTATTAGGGCACTCCGAGGATGTCAGCGAGGGCCAGGGGCCCGGCTTGGAGGCCACGAGGCTGGGAACAAGGCCCAGACCACACTGATGCAGCTAAGACAAAACAGCCAGTGCCATCCCCGGCAGCAGGAGTGCCCAGTCGGGTTGACGATGCGGCAGAGCACTGCGAGGGGCCTCAGGGCCCTGCTTACATTCCGAGACCTTCGGACGTTGTTGGAATGGCACGCCACGCTTTCACGCTCTTCCCTCAGGGGACTACATCCTCCGCCAGGTGCGGACCTGGACCAAGCAGTATCGAGCCTCAGAAACCAGCACCGTCCCGGCGATGGAGAGGCTCATCGAGTGGCTGCCGCTTCACCTCCCCAGGCAACAGAAGACCACGGTGGTACATGGGGACTTCAGGTAGACGCGAGGAGGGGGGACTGAGAATGTGAAAAATGAGGAGGGCATCTTAAGGGGAAATTAAGCAGCTGGTCTTGGCCCAATTTACAGTTGGGAATTATTCCCATTACAGAGGGTCTCCCTGTGCAGGCTGTTTAAGGCAGGGTTTCTCAGCCTGGGCTCTACAGGCAGTTCTTTCAGTTGGGGGGCTGTCCCGTGCAACTGCAGGGGTTATTACTATACCTGGTCTGAAGGTACAAGCGTGTGCTCCAGTTACTGCTGCATAACCAGCCCCCTAGAACTCTGTGGCTGTAAACAGTAAGGGCAGCAGGTTTTTTGTTCACAAATTTGCAGTTTGGGGACAGGAGAGCTTGTTTCAATGGGGGTGGCTCTCGGGCTGGAGGCTGGGACTACCCGAAGGCTCACTCACATGCCCAGCACTGGGGCAGAGGAGACGTGAACAGCTAGACTCCTCGGGCTCCTCTCTGTTTCTTTGTGGTTTCCCACATGGTCTGTCCAGTATGGCAGCTTCAGGGTAGCTGGGCTTCTCACCTGGAGGCTCAGGGCTGCAAACATGTGTGTTCTGAGAGAGAGGGCGGGGCAGGAGCTGACCTAGTCCCAGGTGGACTCAGCATCACTTCCACCTGCAGTAAATGAGGTCTGTCCAGAAAGTATCTGGCCATGCACTGTGAAAAATAAAAATATTTAATGAAAAAGATACAAGATGCATTGTACATAGAGCCCTGGCCAGTGTGGCTCAGTGGATGGAGTGCCAGCCTGTGAACCAAAGTGTCGCCGGTTCAATTCCCAGTCAGGGCACATGCCTGGGTTGCAGGCCAGGTCCCCAGTGGGGACATGCGAGAGGCAACCACGCATTGATGTTTCTCTCCCTCTCTTTCTCTCCCCTTCCCCTTTCTCTAAAAATAAATTTAAAAAATATTTTTAAAAAAATATACATTGTACATAGAACAATGATGCCTCAGTCTCCTTCAAAGCAGGCACCTTGGGACCTCACGCAGTTCTCCCAATTGCCATCAGCTGCCCTGTCATATATTCCTGAATCTCATACAGCTTAACACAAAATTTTGAGCTTAATACAAAATTTGATGCAGATTCATTGCTCTACTCGTTCATTTTGAATGTGACAGCCACACAGTACACAGGCTCACTTAAGAGCATCTACTGCCCCCACTAACTAGTACAGTGAAGCCATCATTGTTCATTCATGCACATTCCAGTATGCTCTCCTTGGCTGTCAGGTTATGTGGATATTGCACAAACTGTTCTCATTGTATTAACAATGGCTGGACTTTTTCCGGACCTCGTTAGAATTTGTTAGAAGTGAGTCACCCCCAGAGGTGAAGAATTAGACGCTTCCTTTTGTGGACGGAGTGTCAAAAGAATTTACAGACCTGTTGTAAAACCATCACAGGGAAGGAGGAATTACCAGGACCCAGAGGGGTTCGCGTGCAGAGAGGGCCACCTGACCAAAGCTCTGCCCTCAGCCGTCTGAGAGGGAGCTGGCCCATGCATAGTCCCTTCTGCTGGGGTTCCCATTGGCGGAGCCCATCTGAGCTGGAAGGCAAGGGAGCTGGTGGATATGACCACAGCTCCTGCAGCTTAGGCTCCAGAGGCACAGAGGAGCCAGAGGGGCGGGGATGTCTGGAGGAGCAAATGGAAGGTGCCCAGCACAGAGCACACCCTTGGCGATCAGTTTTCTCAGGGCCATCTCTCCATTCCTTCTGTGGCTTATTCAGGCTGGACAACCTGCTGTTCCATCCAGAGAAGACTGAGGTGCTTGCTGTCTTTGACTGGGAACTTTCTACCTTGGGTGACCCCCTGGTGGATGTGGCCTACAGCTGCATGGCTTACTACCTGCCACCTGAGTTTCCCCTACTGCCAGGTAGGAACTGCTGATGGGGAGAGAGCTGCATTCTTAAACCGTCCGGCAGACTCGGCGGAAGTAGTTGTGATTGGGCTGCTGGTTTTGGTAGAAAAGCACTTAAGATTCTTTCCTGTCACAATGGGGGAAAGTGGGTGGAGGGGGCATTTTAAGTGAGAAGGATATGCATCTATGCACCTCTTATGTTTTTACACTAATTTCTATTTAATTTCTTAAAAGTACAGGTTTATTTAAAGATTTTAAGAACCAACAGGTAACAAAACGAAAAGTTAAAATCATCAATGGTCCCAGAGATAACCACTGCCAATAATGTCATCTTTTCTCTGTGTATATACATACATTTGTTTAAATGAAAATGTGATTAAATGATTTCATAACCTGCATTTTTTCCCTTAATTATATACTTTGGTCATGTCTTCATGTCAGTAAGTATTTCTTGTACAGCATCAATATTAATGACAGCCTAGGATTTTATTGTATAGAATTAACTTAATCAAGACATTTGGTTTGATTCCTATTTGAATATTTAATTTCAGTTTTTTATATCTTACCCATGCCCTCACAAAAAAGGCAGAGAACATCTTTGTAGTAATATATTTACATATATATATGTAAATATGTATATATATATGTAAATATGTATATATGTGTATATATATAGTATAGTCCCGGGATAAATTCCTAGCAGTAGAATATATTACATTCTTCTAAGTCATGAATATGTTACAAGTGAAACAAATCCATAAAATTTTTTATTTGTTGTAATTTTCTTTTTCATAATTTGGTGGGATCTTTCTCTTTAGCGTTCTTTCTCACATGATTGATTGAAAATAACATGCGTTCACTCTGAACTGTGGTCCAAATGGAATTGGAGGCCCTTCATTCCTTCCTTGACTACCAGTTTAGTCTGAAACTTTGAAGAGCCAGTTTGGGAATAATAGCTTCACATCTGCATCCCAGCTGCCTGAGGAAGGAAGAGCCCTTGAGATAATGAGCTAATCCTTTGAACTAGCTGTGAAGCTAACTCCCAATGGAGGACGAAATTTTCAGAATTTGAATACTTGTGGCCACAGGGGAGTGTAGGGTCACTGACTGCCCAGGGTGGCTCTGTCCCTGCAGGTTTGAGTGGCTGTGATTTGACTCAGCTGGGCATCCCGACTGCCGAGGAGCATTTCCAGGAGTACTGTCTCCACATGGGCATTCCTCCCGTTGAGAACTGGAACTTCTACATGGCTTTCTCCTTTTTCCGAGTGGCTGCGATCCTACAGGGAGTCTACAAGCGCTCGCTCACAGGTAACGGGTGGCCTGGATCCGCTTCTCCCCCTGGAAACCCTCAGAGGCTTTGGAGGGATGGGCTCAGCCAGAATCTTTAAGATTTCATTAATCCAACCACTTGTCTTTAGGTATATATCATATAGTTATATTCTTTCAAGTATTTGAGCTTTAAAATTATTAAAATAATGTACATAAAATTATTAAAGTAAAAACATACTACATGGTAAGAATTCAATCATATAGGACATAAAATTACTTTCCTTTCTTGTCATTCTTCAAAGACAGACACTACTGTTAGGAGTCTCTTGGGCCACCCAGTTTTCTCTGTATGGCTACCTTCTCTCTTTCTCTCTCTCCAAGTTTTATAAAAATGTGATCATCCTACATCAGTACCTAGATTTTAAAATTCTTTATACTTAAGAATTCCTATGAAATATGTGTGTTTGTGTGTGTAGGATATGACACGTGTATATAAGAGACAACTCAGAAGGCAAATTCCTTGCTTTTTTTCCCACTTAACATTTCAGAGACCTTTCATGTGAGCAGGTACAGATCTCATCATACTTTTTGGTTTCTGTGGAGCATTCCATTGTTTGGATATGCTGTAATTTATTTAACCACTGCCCCTATTCATGTGTATTTGGACTGTTTGCAGATGTTTGCTATCACACATAAGTAGTTGGTGGACATATTTTCTCACACATGTGTGCATATATCTGAAAGATAAATTCCTAGAGTTAAAATTGCTGGTTTTTTTTAAAGTACATGCATTTAATATTTTTGTAGACATTGCCAAATTGCCCAGTAACAGGATTGCTGAAGGAGAAAATAATTACTATGTTTTCTTTGATGGCACTTTTACATACATGGAAAAATACTTTATTGAACTAGCTAGGAGTTCTGGATTATACCTTGTAAGTTTCAGTTTTAGAGAAGAAAAGTTGAATATTGTTACTGGTACTTAGAACTGACTGTTGGTTGAGTGTGTATATATATATATATATATATACACATACACACACATGTATCACCTATATAGTGTTTTCATATATATGAGGGGATGGTACAGTGTTAATTAGTTTTAATTCTAAATATTTTAGAGTAGCAAATAAAATAACCTATATCCTAAATTATCTAAGAATATAGAAAGGCAGATTAAAGTTGGCTTCCTGTGTAGAAGGGAGGCTAATAGAAAGTAGATAGAATCTAGAAATAGTGACTAACCCAGTAGCATTAAACACAAACAGCTACTCACATTAAAACCTCTAAATTCCATTCCCACTGAAAGCAACCAGGATACTTTGGAGAAATGGCTGATTTAGGTCTAGGGCAGGACATCTACAAGAGGAACCTGGAACATCTTGCCCCAAAAAGAAAGGAAGGTGTGGAAGGCTGCTGGGGCCCGTTCTCGGGGACTCAGGAGCCAGCTTGAACAGGCTCCGACTTGCTCACGGTAGGAAACTGGGAGCATGAGGATGAGAGCCGAAACGGAGCGAAGCTCATCAAGCATGTTGGGGTCCAAGTAAAGCGTGATGCTGGGGGTTGACTTTAGAGAAGCCCAGGGCAGAGGGGGCGGGGGCGGCAGAGAAGGAGATAGACCGACCTTGCTTTGACGACTGTTGGAGCAGAGTGATAGATATCTACAGGTTCATTATTCCCTTCTCTCTACTTTCGTATATCTTTGAAGTTTTCCAAAATGAAAGTTAAAATAAAAGTCAGATAGACAGAAACCCAGCAGTGGGTTTGTGATCGCTACAGGGGCGCCTTAGCTTCATGGTCCTCGACACCCCAGGTTCACTGGCAGCCTCTTGCCCCTGGCCAAGCTGCCACAGTCTTCTGAGGAAAGCGGTTTGCAGTTGGGGAATCGATGATTCATTCACTCACAAGCATGTGAGCCTCTGCTGAGCCAGGCTCTGTGCCCGGTGGTACTGGCGACACAAAGTCATGAGCAAAAGCACGTCCAGGGACAAATCAGCATCTAGAGGGTTTTTGGTTTAACCCTCTCTGATCTGATAGCAGGGGTCTCAATAGGTGGGACTTCTTGGAAATGATACTTTCCCTTCCTTTGGATAACGTTAGCTCTAAGCGGCCAGTTCCCAGTTTTCGTTGTGGCTTTGCAGTGGTGAAAGCTCTCCACCAGGTGAGCAACAGGCCTGACTGCTGGCCAACATTTGCTGGGGCTGCTGAGCTCTTGCGCGGTTCTGCTCCAGTGCCTGGGGATAGCTGACTCGGTTTTGAATTACTTGTTCAGGAGTCTCTGTACCTATACACGTCACTGAATGCAGTTTGCTGATCAGGAAGCCATTTTGACAGTTTCCAAGGTCCTGCGGGCCGCTAGCTGCCTTCATGCTTTCCTGGGCTTGGAGGTGAAACACCCCATGTGTTTGCCGCCACCACAGGAAAGGTAGATGCGCTGTCTTTCAGGCACCTGCTCCTCCAAGCCCCACCGGGCATCCCCGTCCCTCCTCACTGGGAAGGTAGCCAGACAGAGTGAGTGGCTGAGTTTTCTCACACAAAAGCAGCAACATCTGTTTTTGAAAGGGTAGTCCCCCTTCACCCACAGTTGCAGTTACCTGCAGTCAAGTGCAGTCTGAAAATATTAAACGGAAAGTTCCAGAAATAAACAATCCATAAGTTTTAAATTGTACACCATTCTGAGTAGCGTGATGACCAGTGGGTTATCCCTGTGCCCAGCGTCTCCACGCTGCGCACGCTCTGCCTCTTTCAAAGACAGACACTGAGTAGCCCCCTCGGTTATCAGATCTATTAGGACGACTGCTGGGTACCTCTGCTTGTGTTCGCCCATATTTCAGCCCATAAGGCCCCGAGGCGCGAGAGCAGTGATGCTGGCAATGCAGAGCTGCCAGAGGGAGGCCGCCACGCGCTTGCTTTGAGTGAAAAGGTGCCTGTAAGAAAAAAACATAATATATAGAGAGTTTGGTGCTGTCCTGAAACACAGCTCCTGTGAATTGGGGAGGGGCTATTAAAAAACATTCAATGAGAGGAAACAAAGAAACTCCAACTATACAAACACCAGTTATTTCTGTACATTTGTCTTCTCTCCAACCGTTGTTCTGTTTGAACAGCTGAGGCGTTTGGTGTTGCCCTGGAAAGTGCGGCTGAGAGAAGGAGCATTTGTTTCAAAGGCATCGTCTCTCTGGTGACGGTCACAGGAGACTCCGGCTCTTTAGAATGGGAGGGGGAGAGCAGTGACCAGAGACTGGTTCACAGTCTGCACCAGCCCACCCAGGGGCCTACTGTCCTGCCGTACTAAGTGGGTGTGGAAGACCAGACTTCTCCTGGGTGGCTGCTGAAACTCTAGAAAGGAAAACGTGCGTGTGGCTCTAACTTAGGAAGAGGCCAGTGTTGTGGTCTCTTCTGCAGGGACTACATTGGGAAAAAACATACCAGAAATGACAGCTTCCAATGAACCCAAGCTCACACAAGTGACTTCCCAAGAGACAATGAAAGCAGCACTCTGAAACCAAGATCCAGTTAAGAAGAAAATTAAGAAAACACTTTGTACTTTCTGTGAGAAAAAGAAAATCATTATGAAGACCAGTGAGTGCAAAGGGAGGTGTCTTTCCCTTCGAAGTGGCATGTCCAGTCTGAGTAATGGGGGGAAACACAGCCCACGAGGGCTCATCAGCCCTCCTTGTATGTCAGGGGCTCGGGGAGGTGGCTGCCTGGCTCCTGGCGGGCCCCCTGGGACTCAGATCCATACCCAGCACCTAGAAGGTGCTGAATAGCGACGTCCACTGGTTTGCATGTGATGCTGTGTAGCAAATGGATTTGGTTCCTAATTTGTAAGGAGCAGCATAACATCTTTAACACCCAAGCTACATGAAAATGGCTCTTTTGAGAAGCTGGCCATGGCAGGAGCCAGAAGAAAAAAACAGGCCTCCGTGAAGGTCCAAAGAGAAGGAGGGAAAGAGTCTCTTTAGAGCGTGGAAATGCTAAAAATAACCCAGGAGAGCTGGCTCTAAAGAGCCCAGGGTGCACACACAACTGCCTGGCTGGGTCTCAGAAGCCGCACACCGAGTGACAGAGGCCTCACTGAAAAGACTACGCACGCCTGTGATGTGTTTGTGCCATTCTGAACGAGACAGACTATAGGAACAGAGATAACTGTTACCAGGGGCCGGGGCCGAGGGTTGGGTACCAAGGGACACGGTGGAAGTTTGGGGAAGATGCAGTGCTCTGCATCTTGACAGTGGCGATGGTTGCCCAGCTAAACTCACAGACTTACACACTTTATAAAGGGGGTGTGTGCACACTATACCTTAATTAAAAAAAAAAAAATTTAATCCTTTTAAAGTCTTGATGAGCCTATTAGAGAAAGCAAAAGAGGCAGCAAGAGCAAGACTAGAGTGTGTTCTACAATGCCGGTGATGGCGTCGATCTAATGAAACGGCCCGAAACCACCCGTGACCCCTGCTTGGGTCAGTTTCACAGCACATGCAGCCCAGGGAGGCACGCGGCTTCCTGCAGCCCACGGGTCACCGCAGCAGTCATTCGAGGTGTTACTGATTTAATTTAGTTCCTTTAGAAAAAGACCACATAAAGAGCAGGAAACAGGCCAACTGAGATCGACTTCCAACTGCCAGGCCACTAGTGAAAGCCTGGGCATGTTCCCTCCCTCAGACTCAATTCCTTGCCTTCGAGTGGGGATCAGAACTGCCACGCTGCTCCAGGAACCCAGTAAGCTCTAATGACACAGGTGAAGCACTTAACACCATGTCTAGGACCTGGCAAGCGCTCGGCAAATGGTGGCAGCAGCTAATATAGTAACAGTATTCTCATACGTTAGTATTATCATTAAGGGCTGTTCGGGAATAATCAGTTTTTCTTTGCATAGGGCAAGCAAGCTCGGCAGCTGCTGAGCAAAGTGGAGAGCTGATTGAATTTCTGTCTGACCTGGCTTGGGAGTTTGCAGTCAAAGAAGGTTTCCGGGTTTTCAACGAGATGCCAGCCACAAAGCCATCAAGGCGGTCCTACCACGTGTGGGCTGGCCCCCGGCCCCTGCCGAGCACGCCAGGGACAAGGAGTTACAGCTCCCTTCCAGAGTCTTCCTCAGCTCATTCCTCAAAGGCAGCTCTGGTCATCTCCCCGGAGAGCCTTCCCCCACGGGCCAGGGAGCTCTATCGGCAGCTGGAGCAGTTCATGGAGCGACACGTGTACCCGGCAGAGCCGGAGCTGCGGAGTCACCAGGCCTCGGCAGAGAGATGGACCCCTTCCCCGCTGGTCGAAGATCTCAAGGTAAAGCAGCCTTCCTCGAGTCAGGAGGAAGCCACTCCCTGGGGAGTGGAGAGGCGGGGGAGTGCAGCTGGGTTATCTTTGCTTTCCGCTGTCACCTTTCCTTGCCTGTGGTTGCTGACCCGGGCGTGGGATGATTATGCGTATTCGAATGATGTAACTTTAAAACCGTGTGATACTAAGTACATCAGGTAATAAAGTCTCCCTTTAAAGAATCCATAATGTCCACGCTATAGGACCCAATCAGTTTTACATTGTGTCTGTGCCCTGCCACCCAGGGACACAGCCTTAGCTGAGAAGTGGAAATACCCACTGTTCTTGTCAGGATTGGTCTTGACTTGTCGCAGTTTTTAGGTTATTTGAGGTCTTCAGGAGCACTGCTTTTGCCTATGACACAGCCGTCATCTACCTTTTAAAAAATAGCAGTATCACTTTTTTCTAGTTACGGACCTATTGCAAAATTAACCAAAGCTCAAACGTGACAAAGCACATAACATAGAAAGAGTTCTCTCAGACTCTCTCCCCTCCGAGAGGATCACTGTCAACAATTTGGTTTATTAGGCTCCCGTCTTTCTTTCCTATCATACTAACATGTTTTGTCATTCCTAAGTTGTGATGGAATCATCCTATGCATTTGATCTCCTTGCTTATTTAACTTTATGATATGTCGCCTTCCCATGCCAGCCCCAATTGACCTCTGAGAGGCTCTGCAGTGTAGGTGCGCCACACGTGGTCTGCCCTCCCCTGGCTGAGGGACCCTGGGTGTCAGCCAGCAGTCTAGGTGCCAGCCACAGAAATCAGCTCTGGGTCAGTCGAGGAGCCAAGGCTGCTAGTGAGCTGCTCCCATGCCTGGCGGGGCTGAAGACCCAGCTTCAGAAGACAGTCTGTGGTGATTCAGGGCATCTCCTCACGCACTATGGCAGAGCAGCTGAGGCTGCGGCCAAGTGGGCTGGGCCTGGGGTGACAAAGCACCCTTCGGTCTCCTGTCTGCATGGAGCGCGTTCTCAGAAGATTCGTCATTATAACATTAGTAATGCCGACAGTGATGGCAGGCGGGCACACGGGGGGTCAGAAATGCAGACGGTGGCGGGGGGTGGGGGGGCGCAGTGTGAGCCCACTGCTGCTGTCAGTGCTAGGACTTGGTGGTCCCAGGTCTCCCGGGCTTAGGCCACCTCCAGACCCAGCCTGATGCTGCGGACTCGCACCATTGTTTCTGGCACACACTTCACCTTTGGCTGTCTACCCTCTTCCCTGAAATCCCCTTCATTAGTTTCCACAGGCCAAAATAAATCATCGCTGTGCTTTCCTGACTTACTTTTCCTGTGCTAGGAGAAAGCCAAGGCCGAAGGACTTTGGAACCTTTTCCTGCCCTTGGAGGCTGATCCCGAGGGAAAATACGGAGCAGGACTGACCAACGTCGAGTACGCGCATCTGTGTGAACTCATGGGCATGTCTCTGTATGCTCCCGAGGTACCTTCTTTACAGCCCTCTGCATGTGAGGATGTCCTCGTCCCCCGTAGCACACCAGTCCCCTCCCGAACTGACAGGGTTTTCTCTAGCTTGCACTGGACTCAGGAGCACTGATCCAAATGTAAGCCTCTCCAAACAGGTGAGGACAGCTTCGGGCAGGTGGCTGGAGTGAGGCAGGAGGGCAGCGAGGGGCAGGAGTCATCGGGGAAGGTGGGAGCTGTGTGAGACGGGTCCGGCTGGCTCCTGGGTCTCCCGCTCACTAGCTCTGGCCTCCCTTCAACAAAGGAGGTCCATGGCTGGGCTCCTTGGGCTCTGGAATACTGTACTCAGAACAACTGCATCTCTGCAAGTCTCTGAGGAGAGGAAGAGCTTCCATGAGGGTGTCAGAGGGACTGGGACTCAGAAGATGCCCTGGCACACACTTCCTGGGTATTTGGGGTTTTAAATATGGACATGGGAGTCACCATTATGCTTCTTTTCCTTTTCAGATATTTAATTGTTCTGCTCCGGACACGGGGAACATGGAGCTGCTAGTGCGCTACGGCACTGAGGAGCAGAAGGCGCGCTGGCTGCTCCCGCTGCTGCAGGGAAGGGCCCGCTCCTGCTTCGCTATGACGGAGCCCCAGGTGCCAGCCCTGGGGCCCTTCCTCAGGCCAGGCCCTCACCGGGCCTGAGGCCTCCGCCGCACACGGAATGTGGGGCCCTTGCCATCCTTACGTAGAGTGTGTTCTCACTCAGGTCGCCTCGTCAGATGCCACCAACATTGAGTCTTCCATCAGAGAGGAAGATGGCTTCTATGTCGTAAATGGTCACAAGTGGTGGATCTCAGGTATTTAGCCGGGAATTCATTTTTCAGTTACATTGCATGGGTCTGCGTCAATAAGCGTCTCTCTCTCTCTGCCCTGCTGTTGCCTGGGAAACACCAGTAGGGGGGCAGCTTCTTTTCCAGTTGATGCAAAAGAGATTCTGTCTCTGTGCTCTGAGCAAACCCTAGGAGAACCGGAGGTTCCGCGCGGGCCACCGGTTGACCACACCCGTGAGGGTCCTAGACCTCTCTCTCTCACTCCCCCGCCCTCTTCGTTCTGCCTTTGGAAGGCAGAAGTTCACTTCATCAGTGGCTTCCCCGGCTGCAAGGTCGGGAGGCTCCATCAGAAGGGCTGGTGATAACCCTGCCATTCATCCGTCACAGCCGACTCTGCAGGGCCCTCCATGACTGCTGCGTGGACCTCCTGCACGGAGTCCCCACACCTCCCCAGGGGACATGTTACCATCCTCATTTCATGGAGGAGGGCACTAGGTCAGGGAAGTGACTTAAGGTACCAACTCCCCTGTCTACCCTCACAGGAAATAGGAATCCAGAGTTAAGTGTTTGCCTGCTTCTGAAGCCTGTGCCCAAAGCCACTGTGTTTCCGCCGTCTGTGGGAACAGCAGGACAGGCTGCCAGTGACAGAGGAGCGTCTTTCCACCTCCTGTCTTTGTATTTTCAACTCTACATGGCGCTTTTTTTCTTCAACTGCTCTTACGATGTTGGATTCATTCCTCACTGGGACGAAAACCAGTCGTTCTTATTCCTGGTCCAGAACCTGCACGTAGTCATCTGGTTACATGGAGTCTTAAAGAGCTCTCTCTGCTTGCTGGCTTCAGCTTTCCTGGGCCGGGACTGCGTCTGTGAAGAGCCCTCGTGGCCTTGGCATCAGATGACAAGGGTCTGTCTCTCTCCTTCCCTGGCAGGCATCCTGGATCCTCGCTGCCAGCTCTGCGTGTTCATGGGAAAAACAGACCCGCACGCCCCACGCCACCAGCAGCAGTCCATACTCTTGGTCCCAATGGATACCCCGGGGATAAAAGTCATTCGGCCTCTGACGGTATACGGGCTGGAGGACGCACCAGGTGAGCCCCGAAGCCGCTCCCTTCTGTGTGAGGGCCTGGGAGACACAGCAGGGTGCAGTCCAGTACCTCTAAGGGCGCGATGCCGTTCGGATGGGCACACACTCCTGCCTGTCATTTCCATATGTGAATACCAACCACACACACACACTTCAGACAGGCATTTATATTTTCTTTTCTCTTCTAAACTTAGAAGATGAGACAGAATCTGAGCTAAATAGGCCACTTGGGACAGCAGCAGGAAGGGTGCTCCAAACCTTCTCTTGTACACCCCAGCAGGCGGCTGACCTCCCAGCCTGCTAACAAACGGCACTCACATTTCCAATCCGTGTTTCCGCGGGATCCCTCCACTGTTGGAGTCCACAGTCTCAGGAAGTTTCAGCTTACAGTACAATCATTGTGTTTTAGAGGAAGCATGGCAAACTATTCACTTGACACTGTAAATCAGTGATTTCTTCTTCCATCTTTGATAAGCTCCTTCCTGCCCTGCTCCCGAGCCACGTCCCAGTTAGAAGGCTGGAGAAGGGGCAGGAAGGTTGCCAGCGGGCGACTTGAAATGAGGCAAGGGACAGACACGTCTGAAACGGGTAGGTGCGTCTCTCAGGAGGAAACGTTTGGGTCTTTCAGGTGGCCATGGCGAAGTCCTGTTTGAGCAGGTGCGCGTGCCCAAGGACAGCATGGTCCTAGGTCCTGGCCGAGGCTTCGAGATTGCCCAGGGCAGACTGGGTCCCGGCAGGATCCACCACTGCATGCGGCTGATCGGGCACTCAGAGAGGGCCCTGGCACTCATGAAGGCCCGCGTGAGTGCTTCCTCTTGCACCTGCATCTGGCCCAGAGCCGCCCTCTCTTTTGCTCTCGGACCTAAATCCTAACTGCTTTCTGAGGGCTGACTCAGCGGGTGAAGTGCGGTGATGTTCTCGCCAAGAAGCTGTACCCCAGTCTTTGCTTTGCATCTGCTACTTTGCTGAAGTTTGAAATTCAGAGTAGAATGGGTCTTGCTCTGTTGAGGTGACCAGAAGGAAAAGGCTGGGCTTGTAGCAGCAGAGGGCAGGTCCCAAGGTCCAAGGACAGGGTCACAGGCTCCCAAGGGCTATTCCTACTACTAACTCATCTTTAAAAATCAGATACCAGGAAGAACTTTGTTGGTGGCTTGTGTCCCTGGGGTCCCAGCATCTAGCCCTGTGCCATCCTCTCCCCTGGGCATGTCCAGAAAACTCTTCTGCTGTGACCCCTCCCTCAAAGACTGGAAGCCCACGCAAAAGAGAGCTCTTGCAGGAATGGTCATTTAAATCGGGGGTATCGATCTCACAAAGATGGAGCAAACCCTGGAGGCCAAACAAAAGTCTCACAAGAAACTACAAAGATCAAAAGCAGTCCAGTGCATCTGGATTACTGAGCAAAACTTCTGTGATTTACAACCTTTTGAGTTGCAACTACCAATTTTTTAAAAAATAAAATGCTTTTCTTTAAGGGCTTGAAATGGTACTTTAGCCCCACCCTGCACCGGACTCACAGCAGCCTTCCTGCAGAGCAGTCGGACTGTGAGCGTCGGACGTCAGAAGGGGCAGAGCTCCAACGTGGCAGCTCCACTCGTGAGACTTGGTCACAAGGGACTCATTAGGAGTCTACAAAAGATGCAATACTAGGCAGTTCGCCCCAGCACTGAACTTAATAGCAAAATGTTGGGAACAACCTTTAAGGCTAAATAATTAGAACCAGGTCAGATAAACCCTGGTTCAGGCACACAGTGAAATGCCAAAATGATGCCATACAGATCCATTTCTTAACACAGAGGTATTCACTGAATGCTCTTAAATGAAAAGAAGCAGGCGACAAAGCGGCGTGTAGAGTATGACTCCACTTTTATAAAAAAAAAAAAAAATGCATACAGTCTAGAAGGGTAACCACCTGACAGCCGCTGTAAGTAACGGGTGATGGTATACCCAGTATTTCTATTTTTGTCTGAACATTTATCCTTTTTCTGCCATGAGATGTATTATTTATGTAGTGATTGTTTTCAGTTAAAACAAAACTAAAGGAGAAAACAAAACTAAACAAACAAAAATTCCTTATAAGCTTTTCTGATTGCTTATGACTTTCAGACCCTTAGAATGTCCTTTGCCATTACAGTTGCCCACAATGGGGCTCTGGCACCCAGACCTATAGCTGGGCCTGCCAACAGAGGGCACCATCCCCCCACCTCTGTGAGGTGCCCACTGTCTGGCCTAGTTCCCAGAGTAGCCCTGGGCCAGATGCTGGCTCAGACCCTGAAGAACTGCTCCTGCCTGGCTGCCCACAGGTGGCTGAGTTGCTGGAGTACAGGGATCCCGGGACTCAGTGTGTGCAGCCACCGCGCTCACTGGCTCTGCGGTGCCTGTGAGTGTCGTCTGTGTCTGGATCTTCTGGAAACCGACTGTGGCTAGAGAGCTGGCAGACTGTCAGATGAGCGGCTTGCTCCTGCTTCTGCTTCTGCTCCCTGCCCCATCCTGTGCGCTCTACCACCCCCTCTGCAGGGCACCAGCCCCCATCTCAAGCTGGTCTTCTGTGTCCACAGGTGAAGTCCCGCATGGCCTTTGGGAAGCCCCTGGTGGAGCAGGGCACGATCCTGGCAGACATCGCCCAGTCGCGCGTGGAGATTGAACAGGCCCGGCTGCTGGTGCTGAAAGCTGCCCACCTCATGGACGTGGCAGGAAATAAGGTAGGAGGCTGAGGGGACTCACCGATGACCGGTCCAAGGTCAGTGGCCTGAGGGAGTCTGTCATGGGAATCTACAGACACCAGCCCCTCCCTCCCCACTCAGCAAACTCCAGAGGAAGAGCTTGGCTTCTTGACACTAATGACTGCTTCAGCTCTGCTTAGAACTATTTGGGCAGCTTTCCAAAAACAGAAAAGGCACACTAAAATAGGTCTGAGCCTTCCATTTACTGAGCCGGTGGACTTTTAGGTCCAAGATAGTGGGCCTGACAGGGTCACATAGCCCCTGGCCTAGCTCTGCCTCAGGCTAGACTTGGAGGCCCTGTTGGTGCAGGCATCAGGCAAACAAAGAGTGAGCACAGGAGGGACTCACCACAGAGAGGCTTGATTTTCCAGCGTGACATTATCCCTTAGATGGCTCTTCCCGAGTGCCTTTAGTGGCATGTCTGCATGGACCCGCGCCTTCTCCACCTCTGTGGGGAGCCTTGACTTTAGCCAGAGGCCTCAGTGGTGGGTGGGGGGCAACCTGGGCTCGTCTTCCCGGCCCCTTGGCCCTCATGCTGGATATGGCGGAGGCGCTCAGGGGCCTGGCTCCAACGCCCCAACGCAGGGCGGAGTCCTGCAGCTTGGTCTCTAGAGCTCTGGCTGGCCGAGGTCCACGCTCGGGTTGGAGACGAAGCTGGCCGTGACTGTGATCGACGCACAAGCCACTCCCCACTCTGCCTTCTGTGTGTGCGGGCACTGCTCCCCGTCCTCCGGGAAGACGTCTTCATGCCTGAGCTGTCCTTGACCAGGCACCTGCTCACACCTCACCCTTTCCTGCGTCACCCTCACAGTCACCACCGCTGCGCCTTCCATCGCCCCAGGTGCTGGGCGCGGGGCGTGGGGCGTGCCTTGGGCAGGGGCCGCCTTGTGGAGCCTGTGGTTCCGCTGGACCTCAGGTCTCTGTTCTGAGCCATTGTTCCTGCTCCTCCCATGAAACTGGTTGTCCTTCCAATCATTTTGCCTTGGGTCTGCCCTTGTAGTTTCGTTTCCTCCTCTTCCTCACAGGCTGCAGCTTTAGACATTGCCATGATTAAAATGGTGGCCCCGTCCATGGCGTACCGAGTGATTGACCGTGCTATTCAGGTGAGGAGACTGGACCACGGGTTCTCGGACCCACTTACAACACAGGCGGAGCTCCTTTGCCTTCAGCTGCCCCACCTCCTGTAAACTCCAACCACCGCCTGTTGTTGCGCACTCATCTTGCATGTCATTTCCCTTTTTTTCCTGGGGACAACCATACAAGAGGGCCACATTCATACTCCCACTTCTGAATATGAGGAAACAAAGACACAGAAAAGTGAAATGACTTGTCCAGGGTCACTTGGCTTGTAGGTAGCTGATCTCAGATTTATGGGAACTTGGTCCTTGTTATACCAGAACCCTGCCTCCTAGCCATGCGGGATGTCTCCTTCCCACATCTCAACACCTGGCCCCAGCATGGAGGTTCCCCAGGGGGCAGAAGTTACTTAGCAGAGTGGACTTGGGGAGTCTGGTGTCCACAGGATGGGAAGTGTGGACCCAGCTGCAGTCTTCTGGGATGTTAGTTGTCACACAGAGGGCTGCTCTGAGCCACTCTGCACAAGCCCTCGTTCCCAGGGCCCACAGGGTGAGGGCTCACCCAGGCCTCCTCCCTTCCCACCCTGCCTGCCAGGCCTGTGGAGCAGCAGGGCTCAGCGGCGACTACCCACTGGCTCAGTTCTTTGCCTGGGCCCGTGCACTGCGCTTTGCTGACGGCCCTGACGAGGTGCACCGGGCGGTGGTGGCCAAGATGGAGCTGAAGCGTCGCAGTTAAACCGGCAGGTGCAGGAGCCAAAACATCTCTACCAGATCATGATGCCCAGACATTAAATGATGCTCTTTGGAAGGCCCGGTATATCTGACTCTTGCACCTTATCAGCAGTTGTGCCTCAGGACAGTCATTGTGAACACCACCTTTTTGGGTCCCCACAGAAAGCATTTCTTTGTGAGAAGCCTTGAGCTCGCTCTTTCAGGCGAGGAAGAAGGGACAGAGCCTGTAAAGCTGGTCTTCAGCCTCTGGGCCCGGCGGCAGCCCACGGGCCCTGTCTCTCCGGTGGTGGCGTGTTGAGGGTGTGGGAGTCTGACAAGTACTGGGAGCCCTGCTGGGCGCTCTGCCCACGCTCACAGCCGCAGGGCTCCCTGTCTGCAAGCCCCGCCCCTTGAGCGGAGGGGCCGCTGTGCAGGGCTGCGCCTGAACACCCAGGCCCAGTGCGCTGGGAAAATGAGACCAAAACCAGGAAGCTGCCGCCATCCATCGGGTCTTCTTCGTTGGAATTTCCGCATCACAGAACACTGATCTTGGAAGGGGCTTCAGGAGCGCAAAAGAATGAGAAAATACAGTGCAAGAGACTTCGTGAATGTCTTTGCATCATACAAAAGGAATTGAGAATAAAGGCCCACACTTCAGTCGCTCTGTTTCAGTGTGTCACTTGTCTCCCCACACTTGTGTTTACACAGAATTCTGCTCAGTCATCGGCCCCTGCAGGTGGGGGGCACAGATGCTGTCACCTCTGGTGGGGCAGGTCCTGAATGGGCCACTTCACCATTGTCCATGTGAATGTCGACAAACGGCTGTGGCTCTCTGGGGTGTGAGGGCCCCTGTCGTCAGGACGCGTGGGGGGAGGGGAGATGGCGGACAATTTGCCATGGCAGTGCAGAAAGCCGTGTCCCCTCTGGGAAGAGAGTGGACATGCTCACTTACTTGAGGTCTGAGCTCTTCCAGAACTGGGTGCCCCATGAGCCCAGGCGGCCTGTGGAGATAAGCCACCAGCTATTGGGACCCTGTCTGCTAATCTCATAATTCGTGACCATGTGGCCAACAGCTGCTCACTTCAGGTCAGACCAGACAGGCAGGGACCACCCCCTCGTCTGCCACATGGCAGACTTGACCCCTAGGGAACTGCCTTACCCAGGAGGGTGCCTCAGCCAGGGCCACGTGCTTCCGGGGCACCAGAGAGCCTTGGGGGGCTTCGGAAAGGGCTCCGCAGTCATTCTTGCGCCAGTGGTCTGGGGAGGCGGGCCCTCTTCAACATTAGTGCTTGTTGCTCATGAAAGGTCAAGTTAGATTCAAACCCCGAAGCTAACTGCTCTCACAACACCAGCCACACTGGCAAACAGCCTTTTGCAAAATCCTTCCAGGCTCCAGCAGCCTAAGCTCTGGCTTGGGGCCTCTGGCAGGGAAGAGGGTGCTATCAAAAAGGAAGTGCCCTGGGCCACAGCCTGACATCACGAGATCCTCAGAAATCCTTAGAAATCTTTGCGGCCTCTGAAGTTAGCCTTGCTTCACTGGTTAACAACCTAGTGCAGCTGCGAGGATGAAAATAGAAGCCCCGCTGTGGGGTAACTCCACGTCTCCCTCCGCTGCAAGGCACTCGGGCAGGCGGCCAACGCTGACCACGAATGTCCAGGCACAGAGACGTGGCCTGCAGCGGCCCCTCCCGCCGGGCCTCCAGTTCTGTTCAAACAGTCCGCTCTCCACCGTCAGCTGTCGCCCCAGCTCCGGGTCTACCACTGTTCTTGGTTTTGGGGAACGTGCAGGAAACAGGGAAAGGTGGTGTTCCCAGGAAGCTCCCAGGTCTAGTGGGGGACTGTGGCGAGAGCCCCGGGACCGCGGTGGGCGGTGTGGGGGGCACTGGGGATGGTCGGGGAGCTGGGGCTCAGGAGGGGGCTCTTTCCAGAAGAGGCATTTGAGCCAGACCTGCATGACAAGAAGGGGCGAGGGTGCTGCGGGAGAAGGGGCGGCCAACGCAGAGGCCCGACAGGCCGGCCGGCGTGCCTGGGATGAGGAACAGAAAGCGCTGTCCGGTCCTGGGGGGCCGTAGGGAGCTTGGCTGGGGGTTTGGTGTTGATTCTGAATGGGACGAAAGAGTGAGGTTGGCCCTGGCCAGGCAGCTCAGCTGGGGGAGTGCCATTCCGTGCACCGCAAGGCTGCGCCTTCAGTCCTGTCGGGGCACGTGCAGGAAGCCACCGATCGATGTTTCTCTCACGCATCCATGTTTCTCTTTCTCTCTCCCTGCCTCTCCCTCTAAAAATCCATAAACATATCCTTGGGTAAGGATTAAAAAAAAAATAGTTTAGGTAGTGGTTTGACAGGACTTGATTTGAGTTTTAAAAAGATCCTGTGCTCTTCAAAGTTCACCAGGATGAGAAGGAATAAAGGAGGAAGAGAGCCCATTCAAAGCTCCCCAACAGTGCAGAGGGCTCCCAAAGAACCACCTGCAAAACTGGGCGGGGGCGGGGGGAAGGCAAAGAAAAAGAAAGTGGGGCCAGGCCATAGCTCCTTTCCACCCACAGCAAACGACGGGCATTTCTGGTGAGCAGCGCGGTGACGCCTCGGCACTGCAGCAGGCTGCGTGCAAGGGCCCGCGTAAGCTTAGCACGAGAATGAGCGAGCCTGATGGGTTCTATCTGTGGAGCCCTTAGCATTTGCCGCCAATCCCTATGGGGTTAGACCAACCTTATTAGCCTGTCTTGGGGAAGGAACAAAATGTGCTCATAACATACTATTTTTTTCTCTCACAGCAAATTCTATCCCAGAGCCATTGAACACACATCCTCTGCTGCTTTCTTGGCAAGCATAGGGGCTAGATTGAGCCCTCCTCGGGGACCCGGGAACAGTCACAGGGCCACAGCTTCCATTAGAAGAGCCAGCTCTGGTGGGGTCTTTCATCCTTCCCTGCTCTCCCTCCTCCTCACTCCCCTGCACCAGATCTTGGTCCTGGCATCCTCAGGCCGCCAGTGCTCCCTCAAGTCCTGATTTCAGATACTGTCAGATAATTGCAGAATAATTGTATAGAGGCAGAAAGGGATAATTCCAAGCACCTCTCCTGGGTGGGGCCCCTTCAAGACAGCAACCAGGAGTGATGCTGAAAGAACACGTTCCAGTGTTCTTGGCCACAGAGCCCATGTTAGTCCTCTGTGGTTGCTAAGAAACAGCACCTGTTTGGCATTACCCAGGCCTCCAGAGCTTCTGGGGAGGCTTTGAGGATGCCCGGGCCTGTCTGAGTCACAGCAAAATGCGGCACCAAGGCTGAAGCACTGCTCCGAGACATCTGGGTTGGTATTTCTATTGCCCTCTGTGGTGCCATGTGGCTACAGACTTGTCCCCATCACCCCCTGCCCCCACGGACCTCAGCAGTTTTGGGCATCAGACAGAGAAGATTCAGATTCCAGCAACTGGGGGCCCACACCTATGCTCATCTGTTGGACAGGTACTCTGGGAGCAAAGTCTCTTTTCATCCAGAAGGCTGACTAGAGAAATGACTTCCGGGAATTTTTGGCCAAATCAGCATTAGATAGATAACAGAAAGTTAACACTGCTGTACAGAGCTGTCAAAGGTAAATAGGACGCTAACTAAAGTGGTAAGGACAGATGTTGATTAGTGATTCACTACTGCAGTAGGGAAGAGGGTGGGGCTGAACTGACCTCAACTTCCCTCCTTACAGGGAGCTTTTGCGAGGGAGAAGGGGAGAGCAGGAGGGCGGTGGGGGACTGTGCAGGGAATTTCCTGCGAAATGTACCAAGAGCGGATTCGGGGCTGGTCCAGCTGACAGCCGCCTGGGTTTTCTAACTGCCGCTTAGCTTATCCAGGTTGGGGTCCTAGCCTCCCACAGAGACTGGGAGACAAGGGCCAGACTCTCAGGTGCCAGTGGAGCAAACAGCGACTTCCTGCGGCAGCCTTGAGTTCTCTCAGGCAGGCTCTTTCCCAGGGCTAGGACTATCCCAGCGGTGCAGCCTTGAGCTGTTAGAAACTGTGTTAAGAGTTTGTTCATGTCTTTGGATACCGTGGGGGTAGACCAAAAAATTTGTGCTGAGAGTCTGAGGTTTTGGTAGGCCCAGGGTAGAGCTAGTCACAAGAAAGCTTAGAGAAGCCTAGCTAGCTTGGTCCTGGGTGTGAATGCTGGCTTTTCATTCCCTAGAGTCGGTTTGCTCATGTGAAATGTGCTTCCTTTCCAGGATTGTGGGAGGATTAAATGAGAGGACCCAGAGCTTATCAGAGCTTATCAGAGCTTATCAGAGCTTATCAGAAGTCCCCCGGATGTGCCAGTTTTCCGCTGTGTCTGGGTGGGGATTATGAAAGTGTACTCGGGGGAAGATTAAAACAAAAAAAAACACAAGGAGATGCCACCTCACACTTGTGAGAATGACAGTCATCAAAAAGACACGTGACAACGAATGTTAGTGAGGACATGGGAAAAAGAGAACACTTGTGCACTGTCCGGGGGAATGTAAATTGGTGCAGCCACTGTGGAAAACAACATGGAGGTTCCTCAAAAAAATAAAAATATAACTACAATATGATCCAGCAATCCCCCTTCTAGGTAGTTCTCCAAAGGAAACGCGAACAGGATCTCAAAGGGAGAGCTGCCCTCCCACGTTGAGGGCAGCATCAGTCACGAGAGCCACACGTGGAAACAGCCTAAGTGCCCACCGATGGATAAAGACGACGAGGGGCGAATACACAGGGAACAGCTGAGAGAGAACCCTGCTATTTGTGACAACATGGATGCACCTTGAGGGTGTTCTGCTAAGTGAAACAAGACAGTCGGAGAAAGACAAATACTGCATGATTCATATGTGGAATCTGAAACAGGTGAAGCCATAGAAACAGACACTAGAATGGTGGTGACCGGGGGTGGGGGAAATGAATAGACACTGGTCAACTGGTACAAGCATACGGTTACACGGTGAATAAATTCCGGAGATCTAATGCACAGCATGGTGGTGGCAGTTAACAATACTGTACTGTATACTTGAGAGTTGCTAAAAGTAGGTCTTAAGTGTTCTCACTACAAAACAGAAATGGTAATTATGTGGTATGCTGGAGGTGCTGGCTAAGGCTAAGATGGTAAACATTTGGCATTATAGAAGTGTGTCAAACCGACATGTCGTAGACCTTAAACTTACACGATGTTACGTGGCAATGCTATCTCAATAAAGTAGAAATAAGTACTAGAAAAAAATAGGAAAAAAATTTTAAATCTCAGAATGCTAAAGTCTTTCTAGGTGTGACATGAAAGCCAGAGGTATAAAAGAAAAGATCGACCAAAAAAGGCTCACAGAAACCAAACAAACACTGGGAAACAACAAAAGGCATAAACTAAGTAAAAAGATAAATGAGAACTGGCAGAAAGTATCTGCATCATGTATGGCAGACCAAATATTATTTGCCGAGATATCTATCTACCTATCTATCTATCTAGATAGATAGATATATCCCCACCACCAGTCCAATTAAAAAAATGAGAATGAGACATGAACAGCCAGCTCATAGCAGAGGAAGAACACTGGACTTCACATAGGCAAAGATGCTCAGACGCACTCCTAAGAAGAGAAATGCAAATTAATGTGATAGAGAAATGCTATTTTTCACCTATCTGATTAGCAAAGAAAACCAAAATCCGATCGATTATGTTGGTGAAGGTGTGAGGAAACTCGGACATGACAGCGGGTGGGGTGTAAATTAATCACACCTCTATGAAGGGTGATATATAACATCGACTCGTATATTTAAATCGTAAGTGTCCTTTGACTTAGCAGTTCTATTTCTATGAACTTCTCAGGTATGTCAAGGATATATTGGAAACAACTTAAATGCCCATCCACAGGAAATTCATTAGATAAACATGGTAGATGTACCCAGTGGAACTCTATGTAGCTGTTAAAGAAAATGGGACACTTTCCCCGGTGCTGTTGCAGAGCCATCTCCCCACACGTTGTTAAGTTAAAAAAGCGAGCTGCCTTGGGAAAGGGGACGTGGGGGCTGGGGGCTGCATTCAGAGGGGAGAGGGAGACTCATTTTTCAGTTTCTCTCTGCAACTGATCTCCAAACCTATTTCCCCTCCTTTCTGGGCACACACTTGACTGACTTCGCAGACTCATGGAGCCAATGGCCACAAGTCTGAATTCTAGCTAGTGAGCCAGGCTCAGCCCGCAGAACTTTCCCATGTGCCAACCTTAATGCTTTTTTCTCCTCTGGTTGTGACTTTGAGAATCAGGTGTTGACATCAGAGTCACACAGAGAAAAGCGCCAGGGCCCCTAGTTGTGAGTGAGACTTGCCATCATGGAGAGAGGGCCTTGACAGTGGTTAGACACTGGGACTTTGTGGCATGTTTGTTCTGGCAGCCCTGTTAGCTATTATGATACACTTTTGACGTCACATTAGCACTTCAAAGCCAAACAACAGCACACACACACTGCTGGCTTCGAAGACTGTGGATCAACAACTTTGCCTGGCACTTCGTGGCTGGGCCTTGGCCAACCCTTGAGGCCTCAGTGCCAGGGACTGCAGCATCGCACAGCAGGCAGGTCCTCGCCGACTCAACGACTCCTTTCCTCCGCCCCTGCCGTCACACCGGCTTGTGCGGGCAGGCTGGCAGGCTCCGCAGATCCTGCCAGGCCTCTTCCCCTCTTCCTTGGACTGTAGCTGACAGTGAGCAGGCAGTTCTCTGTAACCACCGTCTCCCTATCTGGCCTCCTCCCATTCTTTCCCGCATCCTCAGTGCCCAGTCCTCTGATGTCCTTACTTCCATCCTGCCCTCCTGGAGTCCATCAAACGAGCAAAGTTAACGCGTGAAATCAGGCTGGTCATTCTTCTCTTCCAAAGTCCTCACCACTGCCTTATCTGAGGCCCTACCTGCCTGGCCCCGCCTACCTCTCCACCTCACACTTGCCAGCTCCTCCCCTAGTTCCCTGGACTCCGTTATTTCCACTGCTCTTATGCAACCCAGGGCGGTCGCACCTTAAGGCCTTTGCACTTGCTGTCGCCTCCCCGTTGAATGCTCCTAGTTCTTTACCTTTTCAACTCAGATCTCACATGTCATTTCCTGAGCATGGGATCTAAAAATCATTGCCCGCTGCCCCAGCGGTGTCTTTAACCTATTCATTTCCTTCACATCCCCTGTCACTATCTGAAACCCTCTTGGGTTTGGCTTAATGTCGGTCTCTTCAGTAGAGTGAAGCCCCCGGAGGTCAGGGCCTCGGGCGCTGCTGTTCAGGCCTTGCACACATTAGGTTCAACCAGTGCGCGCTGAAACCGTGAGGTCGGGTCATCCCACACACTCAGGGCACCACACAGGGGTCAGCGCAGGGCACGGAGGAGCACGGTGGGGTGGGGGAGGGGGGAGGGCAGGGAAAAAGCCGAGGGTAGTGGGCCTCCAGGCCCAACCCCACCGGTTCCCCTGCGCACACCGGAAGCCTGCGGCCGGGACTTGGATGAGGCGGTGAGCACGCCCCCACCACCCCCTCCACCAGCCCCCGCCGTGCTCCGCCCCGCGCCTGCCCATTGGCTGCCGCGCTCGGGAGGGGAGAGGTCACGGGCCTCCTGAGCCGGTGGGATCCACCACCCTGCACGGGACAACGCGCAGATCCCACGCTACCCCGCACACCCACTGCACAGCAGCATGTTGCGCGCCACCGTGCTCGCCGCCGCCAGCCTCAGGCCCCGCCTGGGCCGCCGTTTCCTGTCCACTGCGGCCACCCAGACGGTGCCGGCCCCCAACCAGCAGCCCGAAGTCTTCTACAACCAGGTGACGCCGCCGCCGCCACCGCCGGCCGCTTTGTCCTCTCCGGGGGACGGAGCCCGCTGGGTGGGAAGGCCCTAGGCCTGTTTGGGCCTCAGTTTACCCAGCGGGGGCTCGAGGGGTTAGCCGCGGTTGGTTTTCGCGCACACCTTCCCTACCTGAGAAACTTTGGGCCCCTGCGCCGCTTCTGACAGCCCCACCCCCAACCCCCCAACTCCAAAATCCCACCGGGACTAATCGGGGATCGGTTTTTCGTCCCACCGCCCCTGCCCATCTTCCAGCGCCAACTTTCGGTTTTCGGGCCTCCTCGTCGCCCCTGCGTCTGCGTAGCGTCTTCATCATCATCCACACAAAGGACGTCTTGCAAGTCCTTTGCAGGAACTTTTCCATCTTTTCCTTGGTCTCCTCTCTTCCCCTCGACTGATGCCTTTGTCCCAGGAGTTCGTCCTCCAAGCTAAGGCGCCTTGGTTCGTGAAGGCAGAAGCTGAGACGCCTGGGCTCCCTGCCGCTTTCACTGCTGGGAACCTGGAAAGGGAGTGGGGGGAGGGGGCGCGGGCGGTCTTCGCCTCCTGGCGCAATGCCCGTCAGTGTCTGCCTCCCAGGGAGCTGGCCTTCTGTGACCAAACCAAGGAAGGAGAGGCTTCCCTGGATAACCCAGATTTCCAGCGTTCGATTCCTTGTTCAAACAGGACTTCGTAATACTTTCTTTTTCGATCTTTTGAGTTTGGGTCAAGTGCTGGAATCCACTGAGGAGGAAGTCAGATACCAAACAGGTCGCTGTGGGTGGGTCCCCGGTGCCGCCGCCCTTCCCGAGCCCCGCGTCCTCCTGGTGAAAGCGAGCGGGTGGGAAGCCCACGCCCCTGGCAGCACAGGGCCTCGTGCGCCCCTGTGAGCACTTAAGAAGTAGTGGCTTCTGGGGACGGCCATAGCCTTTGTACCTGGACCCCTTCTAAGCATTTACCTGTTTTGCTGTTTAATCCTTACCGTAGCCTTCTGTGGTAGGTACTACGGTTATCTCCAGTTTACAGATGAAGAGATTGAGTTACAAAGAGGTTTAGTGACTTGCCTAAAGGCTGAAGTCAGTGGCAAAGGGGGGGTTCACGTCTAGATGGCCAAGAGGAAGCCCCTCCCCAGACCATCTGTGGTGCTGTCAATGCCATTCTGGGTGCGCGTAAAGGGATGGTCATCGCTGACAGGGTGCTGGCCAGCCGGCCCCCTGTGACTACTTTCAACAGTGGACCTGCTTGTCTGGCCCAGGGTTTGGCTGCAAATCTGCACACAGGTGATGGGTAAAGGGCCATCCATGTGAGGCTAAGGAACGTTTTGAGAGCACAAGCAAACTGTCCTGTGATTAACAAAGGCCGCAGCGGCTGTAGCCCCTTTGGCAGGCTGTGTGAGGACGAGTCATGCTTGAAAGAGTCGACATCAAAAGCTCACACAGAAGAATCCTCCAGGACGAGGTGCCGGCACCCGGAGCCTTTGTGCCCACAGAATCTAATTCAGATTTTCCTCCTTTGTGCTTGCATGGAGGTGATATGCAAACCCACTCACAGGTCTGGTGGGTACAGCATGAATCCTGTTCTCCACATTGAGTCTGGGAATGTAAGTTGGGGGAGTGGAGTGAATTTTCCCTGTGGCTTTTTTTTCTTAAATCAGATTTTCTAAGATCATAAACGTAGCATGTGCTCACTGTGTAAAAATGCAGAGTGTACTGTGAAACTTCTCCAACCCCGAAGGAATTCCTTCCAAGAGCACTGGTGGCAGACAGGGTGTGATCTTGCAGGCATGTTCTCTGCATTTCTGAGTGAGGGGGAGGGAGAGAAAAACAGATTTCTTTTATGTAAATGAGATTCTCGCACTTCCTGTTCTGAGGCTGTCTCATTGAACAATGGGTCTGCATTCTCCTCGGTTGGTATTTTCACAGGTTCCTCTTCTTCCCAAGGATGGCAGCGTCCCCCAGGAGCTAGAGCTGGCTCCTCTGCGAGCTCCCGGGGCCGAGCCCAGTGCTGTGTCACTGCGACCCTTGCTGGCAAGAATGCCACGGCCTAATCCTAAATGTTTGAGCCTCTATTCTGGGCCTCGGTGTACAAGGTGGACATTTCCTTGGGGGCTATTAGTTCCTTGAAATTCAGTGAATTGTTCTGGAGTCTGCAGTCTGGAGTTTTCCCAAAAGGAGATATTTGGATAGAAAGGCTTTGGAGCCACTTCTGCAGGTGCTGGGTTCTCAGGCTGAGGGTCTTCACAGGGTTTTATATTTGGGGGGAGGGGACCTGCACTTTGAACTTGTCAGGTTTCACCTGGATGGCGGGGGTGGGCACAGGCTGTAAAGGTGCTTTGGTCCACTTTCCTGGGGTTCTCTCGCCTCTAGGCAGCCCGCGTGGGGCCGCAGGGCGGGGCAAACTTCTTGTTGGGGTTAGAAGTTCTCCTTCCCCACGGGAAGGGTCCCGTAGGGCTTGCTGCTGACGGCCAGGTTCCCTGAAGATTGACATGTTGCACCCTTGTTTCAGGGACACACCTCTATCTACCTAACTTTCTTTCTTACCTGACTTGGAGAGTAAGTAAGATCTGGAAAGGCAGCTCAGAGGAAAACCCAAGGGACGGTGGTTTTAGCACAGTAATCCCTCCAGATACGGGGTGGCTACTATTTTCACCTTCAACATCACCATTAATGTTGGCACATATAATAATGTCAAAGACGAGAATAGTGTTAGGCACAGTTTCACACTCTGAACTCAGGGTGCCTGCCAATTGCTAGTACCAACTCAAGCAGGTTCATTTATTTATCAGATGATTACTCAGCTCCCTGAGTTCAATGAATAAAACAGACAAGATTCCCTGTCTGTCAGGAGCTTATATCATGGAAGGTAGAGAGAGACAAACAAGTAAGTGAAATGCATAGTATGGCACAAGGCAATCAGTGTTATGGAGAAAAAGAAGGCAAGAAAGGAGGCTGTGGAGGGTGGTACAATTACTTAATTCTGTGCCTCAGCTGCTACATCCGTAGAATGGGGTGAAGACCTTGCCTACATCAAAGGGTTGCTGTGAAGACCGAACAGAGTCATTCTCAGGCAGCCCTTAGCCACTTCCGGGCTCACGGCTCCTGGTGTCGCGTATTCACTGTGGCCTTAAAGAACAGCGAGGGTAACAGCAATGCCATTGAGCTTCGTAGACAATGGTGACGTAACTCCATTTTATGTGGGTGCTGTTGGAGTTGCAATGTGCTTCCTGAGTGGGAGTTTGGGGTGAATTAAATTTGTCTCTCTATTCTTAGCCTCCTGACCACTACACTCAGGAACTAAAATGAGGACTGACAAAAAGGAAAGTAAGAAAGGCTTTCGCTAGCCCTGGCGTGTGTAGCTCAGTTGGTTGGGCAGCGTCCTGCAAAGCAAAAGATTGCTGGGTTTGAATCAGCCCATGCCTGGGTTGCAGGCCTGTAGATATTTCTCTCCCTTACCTCCTCCCTTCCTCCCACCTCCTCCTCCCTCCCTCCTCCTTTCTCTAAAAATAAAACCAATAACCCCTAAAAAATAGAAAGAAAGAAAGGATCTCTCTATGAATTTTCTGGTTACAATAGTAATACAGTCTCAGTACAAAAAGGCAGGCATATGTGTCTTCTGGGTGAGTGTAGGTATCACCTGATCCAACAATTTTCAATTGCTTCCAATCTATCAGGCCCTGTGCTGAAGACCCGTACCTACATTTTTGCCTTGCGTTCTGCCAGCAACTCCATGAGCCAGGTGTTATTGCTGTCCTGTCTTACAGATGAGGAAACCAAGGCTCAGGGAAGTTATGTTGACAGAAGCATGAAACCAGGGCTCAAGTTTAGCTCTGTCCAATTCTAACATGAATGCCCTTAGCCACAAGCTGAGTCTGGACCAGGCCTATGGTCAGACAAGGATGTAAATACTGAAGGGACAGCTGAATGGAATGTTTGAAATTAGGGAGGAGCTGTGCTTGTGTTCACATTCTAGTCATCTTGAACTGAGATTAGGATGTAATAATTGCTCAGTAAATATTTACTGAGGGCATGAATGACTGTCATTTATGAAACTTTACAGTCTGTGCACAAGAGAGAGGTTGCCAAGCTATAAGCCCAGATGCACATCAACAAATTGAAACTGTGCCTGGCTGGCCATCAGTCCACAGTAGAACCGACCCTCCCATCTCAGAAGTGGTGACAGTCCAGAAAAATAGGATGAAAGGCCCAACGAATGGAGAGAGGATGGGGCCGGCGGGTGGCGGGGCTGGCGTCAGGTTCCAGAATGCCTTCAGTGAGTCTGGGGGAGCTGGCTGCTCTTGGCTTTAATCCCAAACTAACCTGGAAGTTTCTAGACAGTGTGTGGAAAAGTGTGAATGCATGTGGCATTCCATGTTTATCTGGAACTCTTCTCCTTGAGACCTTCTAATACAAAAGATGGCATCTGCTCTCCTTTGGACAGAAGCTACCTAACTGCCACTGAAAAAGCAAATGACAGCAGCAGTTGTCACTCCAGGATAGAGAACAACAGCTTCTGCTCGCTCACTCTTGGGGAAAATAACATATTCTAGGGATGTAGATTTCCTAGGTAACAGATCCCTAATTCTTTCATGCATCAGAGCTTGAACTAAAATCTTTCTAGAATGCATCCTACCTCCTTAAATTGGAGCTACTGAATATCATTTAACCTTTTATTTGGGACCTAGGACAGATAATGACTCCCCATTGCCATGGGGTGGAGGTGGCATGGGCCTGTCACTTTGTCAGGGTCCTGCAGCCCTGTTCCTAGCTGTGCTATCCCTACCTGAGCTTCTAAGCCACCCCTCCCAACCCCAAGTTTCTCCTTGCAATGCCTAATTCACTGGGGTCTGGAAAACAAGATACCCAAGGCAGCTGAGGATCATGTTATTTACTAACTCAGCAATTCTAGCTGTTATACTACAATCTGCCCCAAGTTCGCAAAGATGGGGGTTGAAGGATGTTTGCTGCAGCAGCACCGCTGGGAATAGTGAAAACCTGTCCTAAGAGTGGATTTGTGGGAAATGGCCAAACCAGCTGCGGTCGGTTCATGCGGAGGAACACGATGCTGCAGGAAATAATGAGGTGGACCTGCCTGTGGAATCATGCCCAGGATACACTGTTGCTGAGAAAAGCGAGTTACAAGATAGAAGTCCAGGGTCCCCACTTGGAATGAACGCCCCCCCCCCGCCCCGTCTGCCGCCCCCTCCAGTGCACCCCGCCCCAGCGAAGCTCCTGCCCGGTACCCTGGTACCCTGCAGTCACAGTGCCCTTTGGGTTCCTCCTGTCCCGGGCCCTCCCTCAGGTCCCCGTCGGGCGCCCTCTGACCCACGTGCTCCGCTCCTCACTCCTGCCTGTTGGTCTCTGCTTCCCACTTTGCTGGTTTGGTGAGTCTTCCTGCCCAGGATGTTGGCTCAAGGAGGCAGGACTGTGCTGTTCACTCAGTACCTGTGTGGATGAGTGAATCCAACTTTTACCAAATGAAGTGAGATTTACTGAAATGTATATAAAATAGAGCGTTTTGTGGAAAAGCTCTGAGTTTTGCCAACAGTTTAAGCACGAAATCCTGAGGTGGCTTAAGTGTTGCTCTCCATCTAGAAACTCTAATGAGGAAGTGTGAGCTGGTAGGGCCCTGGCCCCTAATCCCAAGGTGACTGAGTTAAGCATATTATGTCAGTCAAGCTTTGAGTTCCTTGCAGGATGTTAGGATGTTTGGCTTGGAGTTTTCCTTTGTGTTTATTCAAGAGAAGTCACTGTGAAACTCCTCACTGGAAGCAGAACTTCCTCAGAGGCCGCATTTGCAAACCTTCCTACCCTGGCCCCTGGCCCAGGAAGGGGAGACCACTGAAGTCTGGCTCTAGGAGGAGGGACGTGGGAACGTGACACAGAAGGAAGATTTCAGGTTCCTATAAACCCAAAATTATCTTTCCTCTTAGGAGGGAGGATGGATTATTGAACATTTTCAGTGGAAACTGACCCAGCAAATTCAGGGCTTTGAAAGGCAGAAAGAAGCCAGGCAGTGTTCTTCCCAGGGTTCTCAGGTTACCATCGGTGTGGTTGGGTGGGTGGGGGCGGGGGTCAGCATGGGGGGGCAGTGTGGCCCTGCTGAGGGAGGGAGGGAGGGGCGGGGACGGCTGGAATTTAGCTAGACTCGCCCAGCTCTCTGCTTGGTCTTTCCTGATCTTTGCAAAATAACAAAACTTTTCCAGGACAAACTTAACTTATATGTGGCTGTGCAGGGAATGACGCAGGAAGAGGCACACACACCTGCCTGGCCTGTGCTCCTGGGAGCCTCCACCCGAGAGCCGCAGGGCTTAGGGTCACAGGAGAGCAGGGCCGAGACCCACTGTGCGGGGGGGGGGGGGGGGGCTGGCGTAGCAACTTTACACCCCCTGTTGCATTTAATTCTCATTTCAGCCCCCAGATGTATCATCCCCAAGGACTGATGAACCCTGTGGAAGTGAAGGGAGTGGCCCAAGGTCATGGGGTAGAGCCAGGATTCAACCCAGGACTGTCCGGCTTAGAGGCCGGTGCTGTTCAAGCACCGAGAATTAAAACTCAAAGTGAGACACGCAGCAGGGCCGTGAGCAAACGCTGAGGATGGAACGGGGCACGGCCAGCCTGCCCGTCCTCCTCCGGTGCCTCAGGGAAGTAGGTGGACAGGAGGCTGTGGGACCCGAGCCTGCACTCAGGGTGGTGGAGGGAACAGGTGTGCGGCACATGGTGGCAGAGCCCACGCCAGGCCCTCCTCCCCAGGTGCCAGCTCTCCTCCTTCCACGAGGTTCCCTCTCCTCTGCGTCCTGCAGGAGGAGGACGCTTCGCAAAGAGAACATGTGTGCGGGGCCCCACCAGGGCAAGGTCAAGTCCAGCCTGAATCCAGGCCTACCTGGCTGCGGGCCTGAACCCTCCCTGCCATAATGGCCCCCCTACCTCCGCCTCCCCCTGTGGCAAACTATCCATCGCCCACTTCTCAGCTCCTCCTTCTGGAAGAAATAAAGGTGTCATTTTCCTTAAGATTAATGATCAACCAATTAATCTGAAACCACACTTAGTTTCAAAAGTTTGACTGTTTGCCCACGTTCTCCTGCCAAATGCCAAGGGCCTGTTATTGCAGGTGCACAGCTGTGATTGCACCGAAATGCCAAGCTGGAGCCTGGGAAAGTGATTTTTGGGAGGCCCATTCCTGGCCAGCTCCTTTCTGTCACCACTCTCGTCGTCACAGCAGTACACACTTAGTCCATGAGAGGCTTGGCGCAAGCCCTTGGACCTGTCCCGTGCCTTTAGTGAGGGGGTGCTGCAGCGATTCCCAGAGGCATGGGGAGGCGAAGCGCCGCGCGCCATGCGCTGCCACTAGGAGGGAAAGCACCCGGGCCCATCCGGACTCTCGCCTCGAGCCCTGCTCTCGAGCCCTGAGCCGGGCCGCCCTCCCCAGGCCCTGCTGGCCCTGACGTCTTGGGCCCTGGGCGGAGCCAGGCACTTGGCTTTGCTCCGCTGCTCCTTTTTGTCAGCCAGGGCTCAAGTCAGATGTCTGCTCCTCAGAGGCCCTCCCCAGCCACCCAGCCGAAGTTCTCCACCTGCCCCCACCGAGCACCCTCCTGGATCTGTCCTCCTTCACACTTCCCATGGCTGTCTGAGGTCGCCTGGGTATTTGTTGCTTCTCTATATTCCGTGCCTCCCAGAGTACTAGCTATACAAGAGAAAGGTCCTCAGTGGGCTTGGTTTCTGCTGTGTCCTCAGCCCTAGAACGCTGCCTGGGGTGTCTCTGGTGTTCACTGTTCGCTGAGTGGATGAAGGAATAATCTACCTAGGCTCTCACCACAGCCCTCAGCTCTAGTGTGTTAAAGGAAAGATGGTTGCAAATCCTTTGCAGCACCTCCCAAGGAGAGGTGGAGGCTCTCCCCTCCCCATGAGTCCAGACTGAGCCTGTGACTCACTCCGACCAATGGAATTTGGTGTTGGAAATGAGGCCATGTGATTTCTGAAACTAGATCTAAAGACGCCTGGGTCTCCTGGAACATTCTTTCTGGGCAGGCCAGCTGTCATGTGACATGTTTGACTAGCTGGAATCCACCATACAGTCAGGAAGCCCAAGTAGCCACATGATGCCAGACAGATGAAGAAGCCATCTTGTAACACCCAGCCCCCCTCCCCAACACCCCCATCCTGGGCACCCTTGCTTTGCAACCACACCAGCGAGCCCAGGTGAGCCCTGCCCAGGCGAGCCCTGCCCAGCTGAGCCCAATCAATGGACACAGCTGTGAGATAATAACAAGTCAATTTAAGCCACCGCATTTTGTGGTGATGTCACATAGCAAACGATATAGACAACTGATAAGGAAGATAACTTCATTTTTCATATCAAAGAAACTAAGGCCCTGAAAGACGAAATGACTTACCCTAGTCAGTTGGCAGAGTGGGCCCTCCAGCTTGGATCACTCTGAAGCTAATTCATATTTGTTCTTTCAGACTTTTTTTTTAAACATCACAGGTAGTCAGTTTCGGGTTGAGAACTGGTCCTGAGAATTTCTGCCTTCTTATTGTAGATCTTCATAAACAATGAATGGCACGACGCCGTCAGCAAGAAAACGTTCCCCACCATCAATCCCTCCACTGGAGAAGTCATCTGTCAAGTAGCCGAAGGGGACAAGGTGAGAACTGCTGACCTACCTCAGGGAAGGGCTGAGTGGGGTAGGGGCAGGGAAGGATAATTCAATTTTTTACTTAATGTGTTTTCATATGATTGAAACTTTACCGTGTGTGTATTATTTTCATACCTAAAATAGCCAATTAAAATTTTTGAGAGAATGAATCAACAGAAACTCTTCCGTGCAGACAAAGGTGCTAGACCGTACCTGCAGTCACTAATTCGTACTGCTGTGGATTGTTCGCTGGGAAATGAACTGAGAACATCTAAGCCAGTCTCTCCTTTCCAGACCCGGAGCGGGTTGCACAGCCAGACGGAAATCTTGCTGAGCAGATTTCGGATCTCCTGAGGTCTAGCTGTGGTGCTGGCAGTGTTTTGTCTGCACTCTATATACTTGTAGTAATTCAGTAGCAATAGTAATTTTAAAATTTAAAATACAGACTTTAATAAAACTATTTCTTGAATAGAAAAGGCATTAAAAATAATTCAAGAATGCCTCCTGCCCTCTGCTTTAAGGCAGTCTTAGACATTCATGATGAAGGCCTAGCTCCCTTTGCTAAAAGCAAACGTGAATGCTCTCTGGCTCAGAGGCATTCTGACGTCTGCCGGTGAATGCGGTTAATGAAAACGGCGCCCCCCACTGGCACACATCTCCCCACATGAGAAACGCCAGCTGGGTTGACCCCCACTGCCGTCCCACGCAGAGGGAAGCCGGGGACACCTGCGTTCGTCGGGCATTGCCAGCCTTCTTGGGGGGGGAACGGTTAAGTTCACGGGGCTTGCTTCCTTAGGAAGGGGAACGTGGTCAAATTCTAAGCGCTGACTCCGGAGTGCCTCTCCCTCCAAAACTCAGGGGATTTCGAAATGAAAATACGGCAACGGGCACTGCTGGGGTGCTCATTCGCTCCGTGACTCCTGGAAAGGAGTGCCTGCCAGGCGGAACCCTCCGGAGCTGGGAAGGACTGCAAGGGGCCGGTTTCTGCCCAGGCAGGGCCTGGTGGGCGGTGGGGTGGGCAGTATTTGGAAGTGGCTATTGCTAAGAAGGCCTGAGCTGCCTTGCTGGGTGTTTTCCAGGAAGACGTGGACAGGGCAGTGAAGGCTGCCCGGGCCGCCTTCCAGCTGGGCTCGCCCTGGCGCCGCACTGACGCGTCTGAGAGGGGCCGGCTGCTGTACCGCCTGGCCGATCTGATTGAGCGGGACCGGACCTACCTGGCGGTGAGTTCTTAGTCCCCTTCCCACTCATCCCACACCGCGAGTGGGTTCAGAGCATCCCACAGCCAGCCAGGAAGGGGGCACACTGCTGACAAGTAACTGGTCAGAACGGCGTAGGCCAGGCACCTTAGAGATATGCCCCTGTACCGGCCAGAGGAGTCTCTCAGCGTCACCTTTGATGCAGCAGGTTTGGTTAAGGAAGGAGGACACAGGAAGAGTGGGCAGCCATGTTGGGGAGCCTTCCTGGGTGGGGGGAATGAGGATGGATACCTCTCCTGGGCCTGCTGCCTGAAGCAGAAAAAACTAGGAGGCAATGCCCTTTCTTCTCCCCAGTTCATTCTGTACATAGCAGCCAGAGTGAACCTTCTGGAAGGCAAATTATACCATGGCACTCCACCCCCCGGCCTTCTATGGCATCCTGTACGCTTAGGACAAAGCTCTACTCCCTCAACAGGGCCTGCAAGGCCCTGCCTGCTCTGACTTCCTCTTCCAACTCATGCTGGACCATGGGCCTCACACGCAGCTCAGCTTACCTGCCTCCCTCGGCTGCTCGAGCACCAGGCCTCTGCACTTCCACCGGGAATGCCCTTCTCTTCATTGCTGTGTGCACCTTCCCCCTTTGCCTCGTCACCTCCTGCATGTCCCCAGGTTGGAGTTCCTCAAACTGGCCTTCTCCTTCCTAGCACCCGTAACCCATGTGATGGATGACTCAGGTCTTCCTTCCCTGGCTCTTTGCTCTGGAAGCTCCTTCTTTGTCTGTGTATCTCCAGAACCTGGATCTGACATGAGCAGAAACTCAAAAAATGTGTTCGCGAAATGACTGAATGAGAAGTCGGTGCCTTGTTCCTCCCATCCCCTCCCCGCCGCCCCCTCCCCGCCCCCCGCATTCTCCCCGCCTTTGGAGAGGGAGGTACAATGGCCCAGAAATGCTGCAATACTCAGCGGCACTGAGTGGCCACCGTCCCTTCTCGGTCCACGCTGAGCCTCTAAACTGCTCGTCGCTTGCTTGCTGTGATGCGTTCCTGTGCTGGCATGTCTGTGCTGATTGTGTTTTTCTTTTTTCTCAGGCCTTGGAGACCCTGGATAACGGCAAGCCCTACATCACCTCCTACCTGGTGGATTTGGACATGGTCCTCAAATGTCTCCGGTAGGGGCTCAGGCTTCCTGGTCTTTGTCCTGGCCATGCCGAAGGGGCACGAGTGCTGCTGGGGAGGTAGAAATAGATAATGTAAAAGGATCTCAAGACTTGGAGGAACATATTCTCTTAGACTCAGTACTGAAATTGTAATCTAGTCATGAACATTTCGTTTGCTTTTGGAGTCAGTTTTGGTCATTTTTTTAGTTGGATTTGTCCATATCATCTGGGTTCTTCATTTGTTGGTTGCAGTTGTTCACTGAATTCTCTTAAGAGTCCTTTTTTGTCTGGGAGGTCGAATGCAATTTCCTCACTTTCCTTTCTGACTTCAGTGATTTGTGTTTTCTCCCTTTCTCCTTAGTTTAACTGAAGGTTTGTCAATTCTGTGAATGTTTTCAAAGAGCCAATTTTGGTTTCGTTGATTCTTTCTACTTCTCCATTTCATCTCTCTCTGCTTTTATCTCTATTATTCCCTTCTTGCTAGCTTGGAGTTAGTTTGACCATAAACATTTTCTTGACTGCAAAACACAAGAGGAGGAAGGAGGGCTTTGTTGGAGCTCTCTGTGGACAGCAGAGACGCAATCTCACTTGGGCAGTGCAGAGTCAGGACTTTCAAATCCGGAAGGCCGCTGAGCCTAACTGCGCCAGCCACGCCCCGCACTCTTCTTTCTTGGCTCCCCCCAGCCTCCTTCGGGGCCAGTCTCTGCGGGCTGGAACCTGGCCACCCACCCCTGGGCTTGCTTCTGTCTGCATGGTTCCAGCCAGACTGTGTGGCAATCTCTTAGTTCCAATGCCAAATTCCCAGAGGAGGGCCCTGAGTGGGTGGCCTTGAGTCCGCATGTTGGTGAAAAGATCACTGTGCAAGTAACAGCCATTCCCATGACCACAGGGAGAGAGGTGGAGAAAGAGAAGCAGCAATAGAAAAGTAGCGGTTGGGCAACATAGCAGGTTATGTCACCTGGGGGACAGTGGGCAAGTCTGGAGACATCTAGAGTTGTCACAACTCGGTGAGAAGGGGTACTACTGAAATCTAATGTGTAGAGGCCAGGGACGCTGCTAAATATCCTACAATGCACTGGAAAGCCTCCCGCTGCAAAGAATCATCCCGCCCCACGTGTCAGCGGTGCCAAATCCAGAACCTCGCTCTACAAGGACGCCCCTGCGCACCCTGGCACAGCCCTGGGCCTCCCTGAGTGTCAGCAGTATGCCTTTGTGCTGACGAAATAACTGTTCCGAGGCGTGCAGAACACAGGTGACGCAGACTCGGGAGGACGGGAACAGTGATGCCTGGACTTGTACAGACTGGCAACCCCCAGGCAACTTTTCTCCCCAGGGTCACAAACCCATATTCTGACCCAGGCCAACTTTGGCCTCAGGCTAACCTTGCCAGATGCACACACTTCAGACTCTTTCTTTTTACCTTACATGTTGCATCTTTCATTTTTCCTACTTCCCTGAAAACATAACCATCACATACTATAAAAGCCTGTTCTCCTTTTCTCCCCAGCTCTAATTTGCTGGGTCACTTGTGTCGCTGTGCGTCCAGGTCATAGGCTTTACAAGGGTTGGAGCCCAGTTGATGACTTGCCTTTCTGGCGACTGTTCAGACGGGTTTACACATTTCCACCAGACCCGATCCCTGGTTGCCAGGTCTGACCTGTGGTGCTGGGCTGGTACAGCAGTCATGGTTTAATAATCCCTGGTTGCCAGGTCTGACCTGTGGTGCTGGGCTGGTACAGCAGTCATGGTTTGATAAATCTGAATATTTAAAATGCCGATTCCCAGGCACCCACCCCAGAGAGCCAGACTGAGGAAGTCAGAAGTGGGCTCTTGGAATTTGGTGTTTTTTAGGAGCATCCCAGGTGACTCTGAGACTTAGAGGTTAGTTCTCTAGAGTGGGTTATTGTGACCTTAGCAGTTAAGTTGTTCTGGGGACAAGGCAGGAGCAAGGGCAATTCTCAGAATCACTCAGTTTGAGTCTTTTCTTCTTGCCAGGGTTTATAGGGGTTCCTCACAGTCATTGACTAAGCTTGGATTTTTTTTTTTTTTTTTAAGGTATTATGCTGGCTGGGCCGATAAGTACCATGGGAAAACCATTCCCATTGATGGGGACTTCTTCAGTTACACCTGCCATGAACCTGTGGGTGTGTGTGGGCAGATCATCCCGGTGAGTGTTAGCCTTGTAATAAATAGAGGAAGATTCATTGGGAATGCCTTGAGATGCAGCAGGCTCGTGATTAAGAGCAAAGCCAACTTGGGTTCAGGTCCCAGCCCTGCCACTCATGAACTCTGTGACCTTGGGCAAGTCACTGTCCACCTAAGCCTGAGTTTCCTCAGCTGCAAAGTAGAAGTGAACATGGAACCTGTTTTAAAGTGGAAGGGTGGGGAGGATTGAATGGAACGGCTTAGCATGGGGCCTAGCACAGAGAAAGCACTCATGAAAGTGATTCACTATTATCCGCACCTGCCTCGTCCACCTGCCTGAAACCTATGACTGAGTTGGGGGTGAGGGGCGAGACACAAGTTCAGAGAAGTTGCTGCTTAGTCTGCTCTCTTGGGAGTCACTTTCTATGGCTTGGATTTTGGGAGTAGCTATTGTTTGTCGCAGTGGAACTTCCCGCTCTTGATGCAAGCATGGAAGCTGGGCCCAGCCTTGGCGACCGGAAATGTGGTTGTGATGAAGGTGGCTGAGCAGACTCCACTCACCGCCCTCTACGTGGCCAACTTGATAAAGGAGGTGTGTGTCTGTCCACAGCGGCCTCTGAATGCGCTTGCACAGGCTTGCTCTGCAGGAGTCCTGAGGAGGGGCCCGAAGTGGGGGGTGTGTGCAGGGCAGGAGCCAAGCACCACAGTTCAGCCAAAGAGGCCCTGCCTTACCTGTTTTCTACCTGGGGCTTCATCATAAGACCCCTTTGGTAATGAAATTATTCTAAGTGAATACCATGGGGGGCTGGGGGGGCGGACAACAGCCACAGGGAACTCCAGGAATCATGTTGCTTGCTGTGCCATTTAGAATTCCTGAGCAGCGCCCACAGACTGCCTGCGCCCACCTGTGTCTGGGACGCGCTGCCTTAGTCTCTCTGGGAGGGGATGTGCGCTCCTCTGTCCCGGCCCCCTGGAATGGGAGAGTGACGCCCGGTGTCTCCTGGCTGTGCGCACACAGGCTGGCTTTCCCCCTGGCGTGGTCAACATCATTCCTGGGTTTGGCCCCACGGCTGGGGCTGCCATCGCCTCCCATCCGGATGTGGACAAAGTGGCCTTCACAGGCTCCACTGAGGTAAGGCGTCCCCAGGACCTCAAGCTTGCTGGGTGTTTGGCCCGGGCTCTCACTATCCTGAAAGGATGACGCGTTCGAGATTAGCCTCCGGGCACTGCGTGGGGGTCCGCCCCAGGACTGCCTCTGAGCAGCTCCAGTGAGTGTTCCAGGAGTGACCGTGCAGGGTTGCGCCCTCTATGGGGAGGTGGATGGATACTCCAGGTGCTGCTGGGGGTGCAGCACTTGATGCGGAATCAATAGGCAGGACTGTCTAGACTTCGTGAAGCCCAGAGCTGACCCCCTGCCCCAGGTCCAAGCACCTTGGCCGTTTCAGGCGCCCTGACCAGCATTGCCCTGGGTGGTTAAAGGGCGTGGGCTTTGGAAAGACCGGAGTTCAGATTCCGGTTCTGTTGTCAGGACGTGGGGTGAGTCACTGAATGTCCTTGGAGCTCTGTTCGTTGTCTTTAAAATGAGGATGACAGTATCTTTGTGGCACGTGTTCATTCAACAAGTACGTACAGAAGCGCCTTTTGCCAGGTTCTGAGACTATGGAGGTGAGACGCACGCCATCCTTGCCCCTCAGAGTGTGCTGAGTGGAGGGGACTGCGCTCCAAGTGCTGCGGGAAGGAGACAGCACAGTGGGTCTGAACTGCAGCTGGGCTCGGGCTGCCTGCCTGTGAATTCTGATTCCACATTAACCAGCTCTGGGACTTGGAGTCAGTGACTTGAGCAGTCTGAGATGCAGCTCCCGCACTTCTAAATCAAGGAAAAGGGTTGCCCTCCCTGGTGTGGCTCAGTGGGCTGGGGGTCATCCTGTGAACCAAAAGGTCGCTGGTTTGATTCCTGGTCAGGGCACAGGCCTGGATTGTGGGCCAGGTCCCCCACTGGGGGTGTGCGAGAGGCAACTGATCGATGTATCTCATACGTTGCTGCTTCTCTCCTTCTCTTTCGTCCTCCCTTCCCCTCTCTCTAAAAATAAATTTTAAACATATCTTAAAAATTTAAAAAAACATAAATCAGGGGAAAGGGTCACCTCAACCTCCGAAGTCACTGTGACGATTGAACTTAATGTGCACAAAGCACTGAGCACAGTGCCCAGTATGTAGGTGGTGCTCAGTACATAGAAACCCCACAGCCCTGACTCTGCTTGTGTTGTCATTGTCATCCTGAGAGCACCAAGGGGTGGGGCAGTGATGGTGAGTAGGTGGCCAGACTTGCTGAAACGCTTCAAAGCTCTTGTAATCAGCTATTTCCTCCTGTTCTGTCTCTGGAAGAATGTCTGGTTCTCCGTCCCCCCACCAAGAGCTTGCCTCTGCTCCTGCTCCCCTGCAGGTCGGCCACCAGATCCAGGTTGCTGCGGGGAGCAGCAACCTCAAGAGAGTGACGCTGGAGCTGGGGGGCAAGAGCCCCAACATCATCATGTCAGATGCCGACAGTGAGTGTTGCGAGGGAGCAGGCCTGACCTCGAGGGCAGCTGCCGGCTGTCCCTGCTGCGGGCCCTCACAGCGGCAGCCCTCACTGTCTGTCGGCACCGACGTCTGTGCCAGGGCCTCTGGGTGACGAAGGCCAGCTCCTCAGCACGGCCCTCCAGCCAGCGTGACCCCGGGAGGGGCGGCTTCCTTCCTCTTTGCCCCCTATAGCCTCGCCAGGCTGGGTTGCTTGGTTGCCCCGCTGCGCCCACGCTTTCTCTCAGACCGCTCCTCCGCCACATCCTTTTTCCTGGTCCTGCTGAGGAGCTCCCAGGCTTGCCCTCCCTGGGGCAGCCTTCCCTGACCACCTGAGGCTGCCAGGCTGGCCCCCGAGTCAACCTTGGCTCCGTTACCACTGTGGGCTGCGGCCGCTGTGAGCGCAGGAGGGAGAGATCAGGGCCCTCTCGGTTGGGCACACGGCCTGGCCCCCGCAGGCTCGTTGGTGGCGTGAATGGACTAGGGAGGGGCAGCCGCCGGGGCCAGGGTCGTCCTTCTCTCTTGATGGTTGTCCCTCTGCCTCCCCAGTGGACTGGGCCGTGGAGCAGGCCCACTTTGCCCTGTTCTTCAACCAGGGCCAGTGCTGCTGTGCAGGCTCCCGGATCTTCGTGCAGGAGGACATCTACGCCGAGTTTGTGGAGCGGAGCGTCGCCCGGGCCAAATCTCGGGTGGTTGGGAACCCCTTTGACAGCCAGACTGAGCACGGGCCGCAGGTGGGTCTGGGCGCCTGGGACCAGCATGGAGAGGTGGGGAAGGCCCGAGACTCAGAGTCAGGCAGGCGTGGCTTCGAGTCTCAGCTCTGCCATGCCCCAGCTGTGTGTCCCCAAGAAGCCACCTGCCCTCTCTGAGCTGCTGTTCTCTCATCCTTAACACCCGCCCTTCGTAATTATCAGGGTGCCCTGGCCGTGCAGTGGAGATTAATGATAATTACAGACACGTAAGACACACCAGGAGTGTCTGTGCAAAAGGGAATACCTTGGTCGCCCCTAAAAATACATCTACCAGAAGGGTACAGGTGGATCTACTGGCCGGGGTTGTCCCTGGGGAGTCAGGGGAGGCCCCCGACCCTTGGACGGTCCCCACTTCTAGGCTCTTGTGAGTAGTGCAGCTATGAATCTCAACATTCCTTTTTTTCTCTTGTTTCTCTCTGTGGTTTGTGGCTATGTCATTATTAAGGTAATACAAATTTGTATAAAAACTTAATTTAAAAGATTTAAAAGTAAAATATAAGGGCCCCCTGGGCTCCTGTCCATGTCCTTCCCCATAGATCGTCACAAGCACATGGAGTTGGGTTTCTGTGTGTTTTAACCGAATACGACTATATGACATGTTGTGTATGTCAGTCAGTTCGCAGCTCTGTCATTAATGACGACACAGTATGTGGATGTGCCACAACCACGTTAACCCGACCCTCTACTAATAGGCACTGAGAGTGGTTTCTGTCTTTGGCTTCTGCAAAGTGCTCCCCAGTGGATAGCCTTGTTCAGATCCCTGTGTCACATGAAGAACTAAGTTCCTAGAAGTTAAATAGCTGGATCAAAGGGTATGAACTTTTAGGTTTTGACTGATATTAATAAACTACTTGCCAAAAGAGCTGCACCAGCTTACAGTCCTCCTTTTTAAAAGCTGAGATATAAGCGACATAGAACATGTTTATTAGTCCTTCTAACAGTGTATGAATATTACAGTGTATTTAGCATACCCTTGTCATCAATGTATTTTCTCAGTATTTTAAATTTTTAGTAGTTTCATAGTTGAAAAATAAAAACACTGGGCTCACTATGCATTTTTTGGAGGGCTAAGGAGGTTGTTGAACTTCTCTTATTTATTGGTCCTTTGTACTTCCTCCCTGAGCCTTGCTTACTCACTGACCTTGGCCTATTTCCCAGTTGTCTCCTTGCCAGGGCAGCTCTTGGCCTGAAGCTGGGAGAGGCTTAGCTCTAGCATCTCTGTGACTCTGGACGCCTTTTCTGGCAGGTGGATGAAACTCAGTTTAAGAGGATCCTTGGCTACATCAAGTCTGGGAAGGAGGAGGGGGCGAAGCTGCTGTGCGGCGGAGGGGTGGCTGCTGACCGTGGCTACTTCATCCAGCCCACGGTGTTCGGAGACGTGCAGGATCGCATGACCATCGCAAAGGAGGAGGTGAGACCAGGGCAGAGCTCTGGGGACTGTTCCTAGAAGCAGACAGCTCAGCCCAGCATCTTGACACTGTGGCTTAACAGGTGGCTCTGGGGAGATCCTGGCTCGTGCTTGGGTGGGTCATTTACGATTCCGCCCTGAGGTGTCAGTCCCTCTCCTGCCTCTCACTGCCGCCCGATGTTGGAGGAACACCTGAGCTCCTTGGCACAGCCCACAGGCCCATTGTGTCCTGGCTCCTGTGAGCCGTGGGTCAAGGAGTGGTGTCACCCAGCCTTTCCTATGGTCTCCATACACGCTGGGCATTGGACTGGACTAAAGGACTGACTTCCCCACGTGGCGAGATTCCCTTTGGTGGTCTCCCCCTTGGCACCCACTAGGAACACAGGGCAGCAGCCGTGTCTGATTCATTCATGTCACAAATATTGAGTGCCTACTATGTGCCAGGCTCTCTGTAGACCCAGGAGAGCCGGGGTAGCCAAAACACATGCTCTGCCTTCACTCTGCTTCCCCCAGCTGGATTAAGCCCTAGCGCGGCCCCGTCAGGGAAAATATGGTGTCACCCTTTCATGTATAATTCAAAGTAAAACAACATTAAAATGCAAAATCAGGGTAAGAAAGTCCAACAGAGCTCTGCCATCCTTCCCTTCAGGAATACTTTGATGCTTTTCTTGTAAATCTCAAATTTCGATTGTTCCTGGAGGGGGCGGGTTGCACCTCTGCTCTACTAGCGCCCGAGGTGGCCGGGTGCCCAGGTGCCTGGGTGCCCAGGGTCCCAGCGCACAGTCCAGGCTCCAACCACAGGCAGCTCCTGGCAGTTTTCTCCTGCCCCTCTCTCGACACTTTCCAGTCCTGGAATCAGTCATTTCCTCATGAAGCCCTAGGTTCCTTTTGGGATTCCATGCATGAGAAGGGGCCGGGGTGTGCTTGTGCCTGGAGCTCTGGCTCCCGCCTCCCTGCTCCTCACTCCCGCTCTGGTTTGGTCAGTTTCTGCGCCTGCATCACAGCTCAACTGTCACTTCCATGGGGCCGCTGCAGATGCCCCTCCTCCCCGCTACTCCATCAGCTGGGTAGGTCCCCCGGGGGCTCTGACCACTCGTCACACTGCTCGGAGCACTTACATTCTAATCACCCAACTGTGTTATGATCACTCCCGGTCCCCCCAGGGATTCCCCCAAGAGGGCTGAGAGCAGCCACACCCCAACAGCAACACGCGCACTTAGCTCCCACATCTTGGTTCCTAAACCCCATCCTTCACTAAAGGGAACCAGGATTCATTGACGAAATGGCTCATTCCAGGAACAGGGCAGGGAAAGTCCGAGAAAAACCTGGAATGTCTCAAAAGCAGAGGCTGTATTTTGTTCATAGTTGTTTCTTCAGCATCCAGTGTACGCCTTGCTGAATGACTAACTTAAGTTTTTTGACACTAAAGCTGTGTGTAACATGTCAGTAATGCAAATGTTGCAGAATTGTTTAGAAATAAGATGCGGTGTGTAAAGCACATGGCACAGAGAAGGGAGCCAGTCCCCATTAGCCTCCCTCCCTTTGTGTTCCAATGAGCTTGGGGGCCGTCGTCTCCCGCTGGAACTGTAAGGGCACGTCTGGGACTTGGTACCACGTTTGGAATCGTCTGCTCAGCACTGTGGAAGCTGGGTAGCAGGTAGTTCCATGTCTGCCGCGCCCTCCCACTCTGCTCTCTCACAGATCTTCGGGCCAGTGATGCAGATCCTGAAGTTCAAGACCATAGAGGAAGTCGTTGGGAGAGCTAACAATTCCAAGTATGGGCTGGCTGCAGCTGTCTTCACAAAGGACTTGGACAAGGCTAATTATCTGTCCCAGGCGCTCCAGGCTGGCACTGTGTGGTAAGAGCCTCCCAGCAGCCCCTCACTCCCAAGCAGGGACCCCCAAAGCCAGAGTCTTCCAGAACCCAGTGCTCCCACCCCAGAACCTGGGGTGCTGGACTCAGCTGCCTCGCTCAGGGCATGTGGCGCAGCAGCAGAGGAACGCTCTCCCACCCCTCACCTCCAGGCCGTTAAACCACAGGCGCCTGGGCCCCCCGGGCTCCTCCCTGAGCTGGAACCAGAGTCAGGGGCCTGTCACCGATCTTAAAAGCTTAGCGCCTACTTTACCCTCATTAGATAGTGGTGACTTTAAAGTCCAGGAGATACCAAGTGTTGCTGAGGATGTGGGGAAATTGGAACCCTCACGCGCTGCTGGGGGGAATGTAAAGTGTTGCAGCCACAGGAAAACAGTCGGTAATTTCTCAATAAGCTAAACAGAGAAGACCCATAGGACCCAGCAGTTCCACTCCTGGGTGTCTACCCAAGAGAGACCGAAACATACATCCACACAAAGAAGTGTGCCCAAATGTTCGTAGCGGATTATTCACAGTAGCCAAAAGGTGGAAACAACCTAAAAGTCCATCAGCTGAGGAAGAGATAAACAGAATATGGTCTCTCGATGCACTGAAATATTATTTGGCCATAAACAGGAAAGAAGTACCAACACATGCTACAACATAGCAGAATCTTGAAAACGTGAGACTAAATGAAAGAAGCCAGACACAAAAGTCCACATACTGTATGATCCCACTTACAGGAAATGTCCAGAATAGGAAAATCCAGACAGTCACAAAGTAGATTAATGGCTGCCAGGGGTTGGGGGAGGGGAGAAGAATGAGGAGTGACTGCTTATAGAGTACAGGGTTTCTGTTTGCAATGATAAAAATATTCTGGAATTACTTAGTGGTGATGGTTTGGACAACATTGTAAATATGCTATAAAACGCTGAACTGTACACCTTAAAATGGTAAGTTTTAAATTCAATGAAAATTTAATCGCTTTTACAAAATTGCAAAAAATAGCTTAGCACCTCAGCAAAACGAGCTATTAAAATGAGGTGCGGTCACGTGGTGCTGCCCGCTGCTAACATCCGTCTGTGACCACGTCAGGAAGGATGAAGATGACTTTCGGCTTCATTTTGTGTACTTATTTTCAGCTCCTGCGTGGCTGGTTATTACTGTGACTCTTTCCATCTACTTTTTCTCAGTAAAATTCTGGAGCAGCATAGGAGGTCTGAGGGGTATGACACATATCCCTAGGAAGTGACTTCTGAAACCTTGTTTCGCACGATAGGGTCAACTGCTACAATGTGTTCGGGGCCCAGGTGCCGTTTGGTGGCTACAAGATGTCCGGGAACGGCCGGGAGCTGGGCGAGTACAGCCTGCAGTTGTACACCGAAGTGAAAACTGTGAGTGGGGCCCCGCCCCCGGCAGGACAGGCCCTCAGTGCTTCGTGCTGGTTTCTCGTTCTCAGCCAGAGATGCTCCAAAATAGGGCCAGAACCCATGGGAAAGAACTGTCTCCCGAGAAGGAACTAGACACTGGGCTGCCACTCTGCCTACACAGTCTCTTGCTGGGCTTCATTGTACGCCAAGTTCTGTGGGACCTGAGAGGAAGGAAAGATCCCAGCGCGCGGAAGCAGCGAGGAGAAATCTAATCAGAAGTTACACGGCACTGGGTTACCCAGGGCCATTAGTATACCCATGTTCATACCCACAGTGATTTTGCAATTTCAGTGATAGGAATATATAGCCTGAAGAACTTCAGAAAGACAAAGCCTTATTTCCATAAATATTTATCACAGCATTATCTCTCTAAAAGGGAACATCAGATGTAACATAAATGTTCAGTAAATTAGGGAACATCCCAAATCACAGAGTACTAACTAGCCATTACAATATTTTTGTAGATACTTGATAGGGAAAGCGCTCATCCTGTAGAGTAAAAAAGTGGGATACAAGGTAATATATGCAGTATAAGTCCAATTTAAAAACTGTGCACATATACAGATACTAAGAGAGCTTCATTTATAAATATGAAGAGACAGGAAAGACACTAAAGTGAACGTGATTTTCTCTCTACAATGAACACAAATTGCAGTGTAACCAGGAAACACACTCACAGGTAGTATTTGAAGGAAGGAGAAATGGCCAAGCTGGGCTTTCCCAGGGCTGGCAAAGGCGGCTGGGGGCAGGCCAGCCAGCTGGGTGGGAGCCGGGGAGGGCAGGCAGCAGTCGTAGCTCAGTCCTGCAGCGGCCAGTCTGAGCATAAACAACTGAGAAGACAGGCCTGTGTGCTCAGGAGGCTCCCTGGAACAAACTAAACACATGCACTTGTTTTTGGACAGCTTCCCCACCTCTACAGGAGGCAAGGCCCAGATGTGAAGTTGACATGACATGTCACTGGCCTGTAACTGTTCGTCACACAGCAGTTGTGGACGAGGTTATTTAGGTGTGGGGGGAGGGGCTGGGGAGCGAGGACTGAGCCTGAGGGTCTGCAGTGTCTGCGGATGGACTAGAGGGCGGTGGGAGGCCACAAAGAGAAGGCTTGAGTGGAGGTGCTTCGCGGAGGAGCCCTAATGTACCGGCTGGAGGCCTGGGGAGCTGAGCCGGGAAGGAGAGGGGAAAGCTTTCAAAGAAAGAAGCAGGGCTTGGTTCACCAGCCCCGCACCCACCCGGCGCCGGGCTGTGCTCAGTGCTTGTGATAAAGATTCCTATATTTTGAGCTTTAAAACTCAAGTGATGATACTGACAAAAAGAGGGATTTTTCCGGAGAGAAGTCAAATTTGCAAGGGGGACTGAGGAGAAAATTTCTTCTTTTAAACTCATTTTGACTGAGTGCTTCAGTTGTACAGGATCTGCGCTAGACTTACATGTCACCTTGTTTAATGCTCACAACAACGTCAAGAAGTAGATACTATTGTGATCCCATTTTACAGATGAGGAAACAAGGCAGATAGGAGTGAAGTACTTGCCCAGGAGAGGGTAAAGCTGGGATACAACCCCAAGGCCACGGGAATCTGGATTCTTCCCGCTTAGCACACTGAGACACCTGCAAGCTTCGGCACATTGGTTTTTTCCCCTTTGACGCTTTTGGAGGAAAACAGATCTAGATCAGGGTCTCTCAACCTCAGCACTGTTGACATTTGGGTTGGATGACTCTTTGTTGTGGGGGGCTGTCCTGCGCAGCAGAGGACTGTTGAGCAGCCTCCCTGACTGCTACCCTCTAGATGCCAGCAGAAACTCCCACCCTGTCCCCTAGTCCTGTGACAATCAAAAATGGCTGGGCTACGGGAAGGCAGCGTGTGCTCTCATACAAAATACAGCCCTGGTGGTCCCTGGGATGGGCCAGGTGTTAGAAGGGAAGCCCCTTGCTCATACTCCAGCAGCACCCAGCTGAGGGTGCCTACAGGTTGGTGTGAAGATTAAACAACTTCTCTGCATGCCTCTTACAGGTCACGGTCAAAGTTCCTCAGAAGAACTCATAAAGAACCACGCTGGCTAACATTCAGCAAGATCAACAACAAAACCAAGAAAAGTGGCCCTTTAAAAGTCTGGAAAGAAATTCTCCCACAAAATCTCTTGGATCTAGAAAGTCCCAGAATTTGAATTCCTATTGGGTGGGTGTGGGGCAAAGGGCATAGGGAAAGCTTTTGAAACTGCAACAATACTACCAGCTTCAGGGTGGTTTTTCAAAAGTAGCCTTAAATGTCTCATCCCATCCATCTGATATACTTTTGTAACTTACCTTTTTGAGGGAAGGAAAAGTCCTTGTTTACCACTATATTAGCATTGAGGCTACAGTTAGCACCTTGTTTTGTATTCTACACTAAAACTCATTAAAAACAGTGCTACTCTTTACTTTTTGGGTAACTCTCCCTCTGCCTCAGTAACCCAAGGAAGTGCTGTCCTGTGTCCATATGTAAACCACACCCCTCCCCACTGTGGGTAAATAGCTTTTGTTTCATGTGTTTTAATTAACAGATAACTACAGCCTGTCCACCCGTGGCAGGCTCTGCACCAGGCACTAAGGGTGACACCTACACAAGACTCCTAGCCCCCGCCCTCAGGCACTTCAGGTCCCAGAGTGGTTGTCTGTGCCTTACGCTGAAACGCAGTCAGATCAGATGAGACAGATTCATGCTGGACCGATTTCATGAGACTGATTTGGAAACCAGATGTCAATTTACTCATTTTAAGTGAGGCCTGTGTTTCCGGTAACCAGATCGTTTGACTCTCCTATCCAGAACACTGCCTTCCTTAAGTCAAAGGACCTGGCAGATTAGAAATTCGTATTATTAGTAAATTAGGAATCAGATTCCTTGGTGAGCAATGGAATTGGAGCAAAAAGAGCTGACTTGCAGCAGTAGTTTGTGAAGTGCATGATCATGTTTGGGTCACGGAGTCCTGTAGGAATTTGAGTAAAAGTTTGATCCTCTCTTGAGAAAAGTAACACCTTCTGTATAATTTTTGCAGACAGTGTCAGGGAAGTAATGAAGCTCATTGGGTCACCCTTGGCCTGCCTTCACTCCAGCTAAGCCACATCTTGATAAATGATCCCAGTCCACTAAAGAATAATTCGACTTACTTGAAAAGCACTTCACAGTTTTTGTCATATATGCAAATACCTGTACTACTATTTACTTTTTTCTTTAAATCAACTCATCTAGATAAAAATTTAAAAAAACACCTTATTGCCATATGCTAAAAAAATAGCATTTAAGTGCCATAAACTAAATAGGAGGCTTTATATAAATGATGAAAGCAAAACAATGTCACTAAATTTAAAAGAATGAGATAAAGTAAGCCTAATCATTTAGATTATACATTTCTATACAAGTAAAACTAATTATTCTACAAATGTTCATACCTGAAATAAGTGTGTCTCACTGAGGACACTAGGGTTTTATTGACCAGCTATCAGCAACCACAGGGTAGCCCAGCTCATGTTGCTTCAAAATGAAACAGGGCTCGCTGTCAGTAACACCAAAACCAAACCTGTATTTCAGCTTTGATGATAACGACAACGCCAACAAGGGCAAAGCTCTGCACTCCCCCTCCTCCCGGCCGGCTCTGTCCCCCCAACCCCAGGCTTAGGGGGGCACATTGCAAGCTGGGGTATGTGGTAGCACCGAGGACAGACTGACCAGCTGAAACGGCTGTCCCTGCCCTCACAGTACTTAGATTTCTGTTTCAGTACACTCTGACTAAGCAAAGTGCCCCTTAACTCGATCAAGATTTAGAGCAATACCTTACCTAGGAGTAGCCTTACCACAAAACTAATCCAAAATCTCATGATGTAGGGTGAAACCCTTCTGGGAAGGGTTTTTTTGTTTGTTTTTTACAGATAGTATGTCATTTAAGAATATTTTAGTTGTGTCAGAAAACCAAATTCAAACCAGTTTTTTTTTTTAAAAAAATGGCTCCCATATTCCAAAATCCTGGGATCTTGGCTTTGGCCATAGCTTGGTTCAGAAGTTCAAAGTTTCCATCTGTTGGTTCTACCTCCATCAGGCGGGCTTTGTTTTCAGGCCTTCCCCACCCATTTTGTTTCTGGCAGGTCTGGCTCCTTAGAAGAGCCAACAGCCCTTAAGAGTTTTTGTCCTCCACCCTACCAGGCTCAAGTCCGCTGGCTGGGAGAAAGCCTTTTGCTAGCTTAGATGAAGCCCTTGAGGGTCATGCTGACTGATCCAGTTGATGTGACATCTGACCCCTAACCCAGCCAATCGCAGTGGCCAGAGGAATGAGACATGGTGATTTACTTAGACCTGTGTGGTGCTCACCCTTGTGGCCTGGAGAGGCACTCTCCACTGAGAAGAAGGCATGGCCTCCCTCACCCACAAAAGTGGGTCTTTTGCCTGAAGGAGGGGACAGGAGACTGGAGAATCCCCTACTGAGCTGCTGCCAACATTTTAGTACTCTCAATAGTGTTGCTAAGAACCTTGTTAGGAGTGAACTGGCGAAACAGAAGTGTAACGTTTCTTGCTCTGTGAATCAGAATCACTGTAACTTTAAGAGAATCCACCCCTTAAACCGATGAATACAAAGGAAGTTCTGGCTATGAAGAAATGTCTATAATGTTGGATTGACATGCCAGACACCTAACTCATCTCATGCTTTGAGTCACAGGAACCAATTGGAACCTTAAGAAGTTGTCTGAAGCAAAAGCCAAGTTCTCAAGGTATGCACAGCCTAATCTCCCTGTGTATAGGGATGTGGGTCAGTCACAGGAGTATAGGGTGTGAAGTGGCTGTTTCTGCCGTTAGCCCTGCGGAGTGCCCAAGAGGAAATGCTTCCACTTCTGGCAGAATAAAGGACAGAGGAACTTTTCCTGCAGCTCGGAGAACCTGGCTAAAATGGGGCATTTTTTTCTAAGTGTAGGCGCCACCTCGTGGGCAACACGTGCAACTACGGCGGCACTCTGACTTGATAGGGCAGACGTACCTGCTGATGCCTTTCAAAGACTTGTTGCACACAACACAGGCAACATTTGGCGGGCAATGCAAAGAGGGAATAAAGAGACCAGAATCACATACCCCCAAAAATTAAAAACCGAGACTCCAACAAACACCTGTGCCCGAATGTCCGCAGCAGTATTATTTATAATAGCCAAAAAAAGGTGGAAACATCTCAAATGTCCCATCAACAGGTGAATGGGTAAACCAAATGCGGTCAATATCCACATAATGTAATATACTATTCAACCACAAAAATAAATGAAGCACCAATGCATGCTACACAGAGAGGAACCTCAAAAACACTCTAAGAAGCCAGGCACAAAAGGCCATATGTTGTATGAGTCCATGTATGTGAAATGTCCAGAATGGGGTGAATCCAGAGACAGAAAGTAAATTGGCAGTTGCCAGGGTTACTACTTAAGGGATACAGGGTTTCCTTTTGGGATGATGAAAATGTTTCAGAACTAGATGAGAGGTGATGGTTGCACGACATTTTTAATGTACTAAGTGCAATTTGAATTGTTCCCTTTAAAATGGTCAAGTTTACATTATGTGAATTTCACCACAATTAAAAAGTAATAAAGCAGCCAGGGCCACAGAGCTGTCTGGACCCTGCCCAACATGCCTAACATGCCTCACATGCCTAACATGGCGAGTTGCCTAACCTCTGGGCCTCACTGCCTCCAAGACCCTACAGTCACTTCCAGCCTTCACTCAGCTATTCTGTGGAGGATAAAAGGGAACAAACATAAGCAATATATTTACTTACAGTGACATTTACCTTTTTGAAAATGAAATAGACACACATGGTAAAAAAAAAAAAAAGTAGTGAAATAAAAGTCTGGCTCCTAATTTTGTGGCCCTAAGAAACAATATTTTTTGTGCACCTACTTAGCGTCAGTGATGCTGATGCTGCTGGTCCGGAGGCCACACTCTGAGGACCGCTACCTAGAAAAAAACACACAGTAGGTCATCCTTTGATCCTGCCACATAGAAACCCTCATCTTTGTTTGCTTTTTACTTTCTATTTTGAAATTATGTCAAACTTACAGAAGTTTTAAGAATCGTACAACAGTTTCTCGTATAGTCTATCCAGATTCATCCAATTTTAGCATTTTGCCCTATTTGCTCTATCAACTTTCCCCTTCTCACCTCCTATATGTAGTTTCTTTTTTTCCTGGACCATCTATGAGGAAGTTGCAGGTATCCTGCCCATTTATCTCAATACTTTATTGTGTTTGAATTTTTACCTTGGATAGTCTCTTCTTACACAACCACATTTTGATTACCAAATTTGGAGATTTAATCTGATGCACATCGATACAATACTTGTGGGAGCTCCTGATAACCCTGGCAGCATCTGAGGGACAATGTTGCCCTGGGGAAGCAGGTGACGTTTCCCGGCCCTACCCTGCCTCCTTGGGGACCCTCAGGCCCTCGTTGTGAACCCAGCTGCATGCTGGCCCTCTGATCTCAGACTCCCAGCTCCAGGGCTATGAGAAGCTTCTGGTGTTCACAAGCCACCCAACTGGTGGCATTTTGTTACAGCGGCCCCGACGGACTAGGACAGCACCTGACCTGCGCTCATTTCTAACTCCTACTGCCTTCTCTTTTCAGTCCCACTGCCAGGGGAGGGGGGTCACAATGGCAGTTCTGCATGTTACCTGGTAGTAGTAATGGTAATAATAATAATAATAATAATAAGCAGCTGAGCATTTAATGGGCTTTTAAAAACATTTTTTTTTTTTTTTAGAAAGAGGGGAAGGGAGGGAGGAAAGAGGGAGAGAAACATTGGCCTGGAACTCAGGCATGTGCCTTGACTGGGAATTGAACCCACAACCTTTTGGTTTGCAGGCCGGTGCTCAATCCACTAAGCCACACCAGCCAGGGGTTAATGGTTTATTTTTAAAGCTGTATCAAAATGTCATGTACATTTGAAGTATTCTCTGTTTCTCATTTCTCAGCTGGAGAGTGTGAATCAGTTGTCAGCTGAGATACCACACTTCTTTGGGGATTTTGCCTTTTCAGAATCCCACTTTCCATTTGGGCTTCAAAAGGCTACCAAGTGAAGTTGTCTAACAGGTATAAAGTTTCAGTATTGCAAGGTCAGACACTTCTGGAGATTGGGTGCACAATAATGTGAATATATTTAACACTGTTGAACTATTTATATACACCTTAGACATGGTTAAAGACGGTGCATTTTATTATAATTGTTTACCACAGTAAGAAAATAATTTTTCAAAAAGGCCACCCAGTGAGACTTCTGAGAAGCTGTCTCAGGAGAGAGGTGATGTTTCTGTGGTTCCCAAAGGAGAGACCCGAGCCAGCCAGCAGCTGTCCTCTCTCCAGGGCAGAGAAGGCTGCACGTGGGACGGTTCAGGCCAGGTCAAGGGATGCGTT